ATATTAATGTTCATTGGTTGATCTACTGGAAATCGGAAACAACTAGTATTTATTAGCAATGATTATATCGAATACACCTACGTGTTAACGTTGTTGACTACAATAAGCAATTCAAATCATGTTACTTCTTTTATTTTTCTTTCATACTCATTTGCTTCCTAATTTTAAAAGCCGATATGTAACGGTAAAACTTAAATTTAAGACAGCTTAGCAAAAAAAAAAAGATGATTTTAACCCTCAAGTTCAAAACCAAACTTAAGTTTGCCGGCTAATATTAAATTAAAACTTACACTAACATGAGTTGTAATACATATATGTCCCATGTTTATAATAAAAGAAATATGCATGCGACTATATGTTTTATCTCAACGTGGTCAGTTTAGCTCGCAGATGTTTACTCTGCCTAACCGTTCTTAGGGATTACAGGCATGACGATATGTACATATTATTTCTTCATTACCAACCTCTATAAATCCACTATTGGATACCGGCCTTTTGAAACTATAGCTATTGTAACACGGAGTCTTAAAAGATTTGCCTTACTCACCTTGCTGGTATTACATTAGCTGGCAGGCAGTATTTTAGAAGATACAGTACGTCTTCTCATATTTTCACTTAAGTTTTTAATCATAATACGTAAAACGATTGTAATCAATCTGGCGTGGGACTACCCTTGTACAAGCGCTAACTATCCTATTGTTACAAGTGTGAATTAAGAAGACAAAGGTATCAATAAATGTAATGTGATATAATGAGTTTTATGGCACATTGTGTCGCGTTACCGAAATGTTTCATTTAGGTTTTTTTTTATCAAGAATTTCTTTGTTCTCTATTAACAACTTCTTTATTATTTCTTTGTTCTTTAAATTTTTAAAGATGTTTATTTAATAAAATAAGGGAGCAAAACGAGCGCACTGCATTTCGTACGGTGAATGTAGAGAACCAGAAACCTTTTTACAGAAAACGAAGCATTCCTTTTTAGTCCTCAGGGGTGACAACGCATCTTTATCTTGATTCCTAATCGAGTATAGATGGTCTAGGGGCCACAGCATCTACTTTGTGCTCGTTTGTTAATCTTATTTTGTAACAAAAATTACAGAAGGTATTTACTATAAATGGATATATAATGCCAATTAAACTGCAAAACTTGGTAATACTAGGATCTTTGCCGCCCACCTCTTCTCCGTAATCACGATATAACGATGTACCGTCCTTTTTGCAACCGCAAACATGGAAACTCAATCGGAATAATTTAGAGAATGGTCACAATGTCGGGGTCACTGCACCGGCTTGGATAAAACGATGTTATCTTAGGCAGAGCGTAGTCGGAATAAGGAACATTTATATTTCATTGAAACATATTTCAACTGTTGTATCCGGTTTTATGCCGTGAAGTGGCAGTGTACACTACCCTATATATCCTTCCATGTGTGTCGTAAGAGGTGACAGAAGGAGAATGAGCAGCAACGCCTATCTAATAACAACTAAAATACAAAATAAAAACTGCGGTTGCCCATCCGTGGCAACTATGACAAATTTTCTTCCTTTGAGGCAATCTATGGTTTTACAATATACTCTTAATAGACTGCAGAGGCTGTTTAACGGTTGTTAAACGGTTCATTTCAACGCAATCATATTATAGTGTATACACAGAAATCGTAATAATAAGTGTCTTATTTCTGTGAGTGTATATAACGCAGAATTGTCGAGATTTTCCGTAGTTGTCAATTTATTTATTTGGTACAGTAAATAATATCATACGTGGTAGAGCAATGTTGCAACTATTATAGTTGTAGCACCAGGGTCAGCTCGACCCCATTATTTATTTCAATTAAACCCTATTTATTGATAACGATCTTACATTTTCGTTCTTCGATCGAGATTGTATGTAGGTGTTTATAAGCCGCGACCTCAACTTACCATTGAGTGGACTATGCTGGTGTGTGTGTCGTAAATTATAAAAAAAAAATCAATTGAAGATGGTCACTGCATCTAAATACTGAACGACTCTCATTTATTTATTTTTGCTTTAATTAAAATGCAGGTATTACTGTAATTAAATTGGCATACTAGCAGTATTTACGTGAGACCTTTAGATTATTGGATTGGATTACTAACGTGGATTAACGGAGATTATCTAATATATAAAAGTTTGTTTTTGTTAGGTTGTTATTTAATGCCCTACCATATCGTTCATCAAATTGCGGTAAAATTTTGTCAACTGTTTTAGGTCGTTGTAGACGGTGCATGCTCCGACTACAAGCCTATTAACGCTGGTGTTCCACAAGGCTGCGTGCTATCACCAACGCTGTTTCTTCTGCATATCAATGATATGTTGCAAGCCGGTAGCATTCATAGCTATGCGGATGACAGCACTGGTGATGCTCTATACACCGGCCGTGCCAATATTTCTCGGGAAAACGACACCGAGTACCGGAACAAACTTGTGTCTGAAGTCGAGTCTTTGCTGGACAAAGTATCGGATTGGGGGCGACTAAATCTAGTCCAGTTTAATCCTCAGAAGACACAAGTTTGCGCGTTTACCGCTAAAAAGAACCCCTTTGTCGTATCTCCTCAGTTTCAAGGTACTCCCCTTGTTGCCTCAGCCAGTATCGGAATGCTCGGCGTCGACATATCGAGTAACGTGCAGTTTCGTGGTCACTTGGAAGAGAAGGCCAAATTGGCCTCTAAAAAGCTTGGCGTGCTCAGCAGAGCGGGACAGTATTTCATGCCGGCTCAACGCCTGCAGCTTTACAAGGCGCAGGTTCGGCCTCACATGGAATACTGTTCCCATCTCTGGGCTGGGGCTCCCCAGTGCCAGCTCCTTCCACTTGACCGCATCCAGCGCAGAGCGGCTCGAATCGTCGACGATCGAGTCCTTTCCGATCGGCTCGACTCATTGGCACTGCGAAGAGATGTTGCATCTCTTAGCATTTTCTTTCGCATTTACCATGGGGAGTGCTCTGAGGAATTGTTCGGATTAATCCCAGCCGCCAAATTTCACGAACGCACATCGCGGCAGAACTCCCGATACCATCCACACCATCTGGATGATTGGCGGTCTACCACTGTGCGATTTAGAAGATGTTTTCTTCCTCGCACAACTTCCTTGTGGAATAGTTTACCACCAGCGATTTTTCCGGATCGATACGACTTAGGGACCTTCAAGAAAAGAACCTACTCCTTTTTAAAAGGCCGGCAACGCATCTGCAATTCCCCTGGTATTGCGGTTGTTCATGGGCGGCGGTAGTCACCATTAGGTGAGCCGCATGCATGTTTGCCCCCTCTCCTATAAAAAAAAAACTTATTGCTTGCACTTGCTTGAAGGTTATAGGCATAGTACAATTAACTTATAGTAGGTGGCGCTCGTACCGTGCCGTCAAATTTATTTGAAAGTAATCTATCACTCAACTTCAATAAATGTATTATCATTCCTAATTAAACAATATAAGTCTCATCGTCGTCAATTTTTTTGTGGCATCAACGCGCCGTGTACCAACTAGTAAGTAGATAATGATGATGAGTTTGAGTGATAAAATTATATAGTGATTAAATACATTGTGGTAGTGATATTGATGTGTGGAAATAACTTTTATTTTGAATTTTAAAGTCCCCTGGCTACGGGCTACTGATATGTATCAAAAAACAAAACAAACTAACAAATTGAACAAAAAATTTGTTAAATCTGTAAGCCGTGGACAAATTTTGATCTATGTTCTACGATAAAATTTCAATTAAAACAAATGAACGTTAACCAATTTTGAAAGTTAACCAGTTTCTCATTTAAGTCATACGCTTGAATATAATATTAAATAAAAAAGTTAAAGTTACAGCCTATATAGGTCCTACTGCTGGGCACAGCACTTCTCTCATATCTGAGAGGGTTTCAGGCCAAGGAAATGTCCGCGGCGCTACCCCAATGCGTGTTGGCAATAAGATTTTTTTTCTTATTGCGCAGACATGCAGGTTTTCTCACGATGTTATCCTTTACTGCCGAGCACGTGGTAAATCAGCACTTAAAATTGCAATTAACAATTTCATTGGTGCCGGCGGGGATCGAACCCGGGTTGAATATATATTAAATAAACATAATAAATTAAATATAATATTTTCTTGCTTACCGCACATTTTTTTATATTCTACTAAGCCAGCGCTTATCTACAATCCCATCTGATGGTAAGTGGTAGTGTAGACTTTTTGTAACGATGAATTGTCAATACAGAAACGATAAATTCTAAATCGATCGAACAGTGCTTTTTTAAACATGACACCACATGTCAATTGCTCCCGTGCGAAGCCAGGGCAGGTTGCTAGTAATATACTATATCATCATTACAGCCATTCGCAAATCCACTGCTGAATCTAGTCCTCCCGCAAGGAATGCCATAAAGCACGCTCCAGAGCCACCTACATTCATCGACTTCCCGCATGTCTGAAACTAAAACCTAGTGATCATTTCAATATTATAAACGGTGGTTAAATAATAGTTCAAAAGATCGCGATAGAATGGGCGGGCACTTCATTGAAGAATACTTTTAAGATAAAATAAAAAATTCAGCAATATTATATCTATTATGTCTTTTTAATTAATAACCATAATCTCAATTTTATGGTGGATATATCATAAAAATGAAAATAGGAGACAAATGTTAAACGAGTCTTTACAGATTGAATAAATTAGATGTAGTTCTGTTCAACTCTATATTGGCAGTTGTTACATTTGAAGCAGCTCAAGTATTGTTTAATTTCAATTTAATATATTTTTTAATTCTAATATATAGGATAGGGTACGATAGGACTGTCATCATCACCCTGCGTAAAAGTGCGTAAATAGAGAAGGAAAATTCCTACTTCACCGATAGCTAATTTCGCAATACTCTAAATCGCGTTGAATTGATCATCGTATCACTTCAATACGCTTGCCTAGTTCCTTGCCGTTTTATCAGCTATATAATAATTTGTTTGTTGAAATATTAATAATCCTTGTTTTTTATGTATGTATGATATTGTTTATCATTTCAGAATGTTTTGGGGCGAAGGAGCGCTCCCGGCAGCGTTCCGGGTCAACACGCAGCGTTCCTGTCGCAGCCAATATTAAGAGGGAGGTGAATTTCGACTGTCCTGAAGAGTTTGGCTACTACCCTCACCCTACTGATTGTACCCTGTACTATGTTTGTGTATTTGGCGGTGCACTTATGGAGTCATGTACGGGTGGTCTAATGTACAGGTAAGTTTAGAAATATTTGTAATTATATAACATTTAAAAGAAATGCATTATTATACATTAATAATAAAGAAAATAAATAAGTAAAATTAATCATAATTTGAGTTATAATATTCATGAAAACTAGAACAACTATGAGATACAATGAATATTTACCTATTGATAATAAACAAATTTAAAATACAAGAACATACCTCTTTTTTAGTTTTTTTTTTGAGTATTATGTACTAGTGTATTTCACAGACAACTTAAATTATTACAATCTTTCAATTTAAGTTCCTTAAAACAAAAAAGTATAACTTTTTTAGTCTGTACTTACTTCTAAAAACTTCACACAATTTTTAGCCACGAGCTCCAAACATGTGATTGGCCGCGTAACGTTGGCTGTGATGCTACCGGTACATATGTGGGAGAAGAATTAGATAGACTTAGCGAAAGAAATCCACCGCCACCACCGCCACCTCCACCACCACGACGAACGACTCAGCCGCATCCTTCAAGAGCACATCCTAACCCTGTTATTACATCCAGGGGACAGCCTAAGTTTAACAGACAAGAATACGAACAGGTACCTAAACATTCACTTCATAATATATGATAATATTTTTACAAAATATTATAAACACCTATATAAAACTTTTTGTTTCATTTTTTTATATCAAGCAACAGCAATTATTTGCTGAAGTGGATGAGTTGCCTCCCGTAGAAGAGTTCGAAAACGATAGGCAGCAACGCGTTTATCGAGGGCAGCCGTCAACGATTGGACAAGTTCAAAAAGACAGAGATGGCTATAGTGCTCAATCTATTACTTCTGGAAGGACACTTAATTCTAATATTATACCTGCATCTATACCGCAAACAAGTGGTAAATTTAGTTCATTTTCATACGGAACACAAGTAGATGAAAGAAGAACTGCGACAGTTACTCCAGCTCCTCAAACGTACAGGTATTTTATTAATTAATTTAAATGGTTATTTAATTATTTATTATAAGAGTATACACCTAATTTAACGAAATATGCTTGAACTTTGTTGTTTTTTCAGAGCTGACAATGATAACGTGACTGACTTTTCTAAGGACAGAGACTTAGACATTATGATAAACCATATCAACCCATACGACACTAACGACAAAAAAAATATAAGAAGCAAAAGAGACGTAGACATGACAGAAACTAACTTAACGAGTGCAGACAAAAAGTTTGATAGAACTGACAGTCATGAAATAAATGATGATGTTGCTTTTGGTACTGAAACAACATTGGATGGTGGTGATGATAATGAGAAAGTTGAAACAGATAGAGACAAAAGACAAGTCACATATTTGTTAAAATCTGGAAAAAACTGGCAAAATTCAAGGCCGGTAAAATTTATAGACTTACAACAGTTTCCACAATACAAAACTAATATACAAAATACTGCCATCCAAAATACTTTTAAAAAAGATAATTTTACTCCCGTAAGTCGTAAACCATATTCATTAGATAGTTATCTTTTCTCGACCGCTAATCCTTTTTTGTCTTATCAAACTGAAGGTTCGCAATCTCAAAGACCTTTTAGACCGAGCCTTCATGATCCAATTCATCAAAAATATACTCACAGTTCTTTGAATACTGCGACTCAAATTGTTACAAAAAGCCCCCCTATTTCTTCAATAAATAACAAAGAAAATCTAATTTCATCTTTATCTGGAGGATTTTATAACAATGCACCTAAAGACAACCAACAATTATCTGCATATACACATTCATCATCCAACCAACCAAAAATACATCCAGTTATTGATTCTTCTCATGTTTCTAGTATGGTTGTTACCAATAAACCAATTCAATTATCATCTTTTTCTCAATCCGGGTACGATCACCCCTTAAATCATAAACAAATTAAACAAAATCCAAAATACACGAAAGATGAACAAATGAATATCAGAAATAACCAAAATTATAGGCAAGATCTTTCATCTAAACATGAATATTATGATGATAGTTATGAATCCAACGAAAATGATGAAATAGCTGAAGAAGATAATGATCAATATTTTAAACACAATTTTCCAGATCCGCCGTATGCCTTTACCCATCCTAATAACAAATATGCTCATATTGATAATCCTTTCGCTAAGCCAAATTTCGATTTTGATGCATTTTTAACCAAATTACAAAATGATCACTACTCTACCTTAGAAATAACGTCTCCTCAACCTAAAAATATTTACAGTAGTACTTACAAAACGCCGATAGAAATAACATCTTCTTCCTATAAAACCCCTGTTAGACAATCGACTGTATTAAACTATAAAGGTGTTAGTACACCTCGTCCTTTTACTTTACCAAATATACCTACCACTACTGCAAGTTTCATTCCAAATAGTTTGTTTACAACAAACAATCAAACACAGAAATATCAACAATTTGTAATTAAGCCGCCATTTACAGAACACCATCAAAAAGCATCTCTTAGAGAAAACCACTTTAACAAAAATATCCCACTGAATAAAGAAACCGGCAATATTTTACCAAAACTGAAACCACCAAACTTCACAGATGAGCGTCAATTGCCTATAACGTACAGTTTTAGCAGGCCTGTTGAGATGACAAGAATTCCCAATCTTAAAGTATCAAAATATTCAAGCAACTTTCCTGTAACTCAAAAGCCATATATTTTAGTAACAAGTACTGGAACACCTTTTATTACTTCCACTACAGATCAACATTTAAAAAATATACATTCCGTTTCTTCTATTAAACCTTTCACCATATCTGCTGCTCATCCTACCAGACCCGATATATATAATATACATTTTGAGCAGTCTGTACCTAAGTCTTTAACGACTGTTGCTAACGAACAGCTTTCAACTTTACAAAACTATTGGAAGAATCTTACAAATGATAAACCGATAATCCCACAATCTACTTTTAGACCAACTACAGAACCGAATACTTCTCAATTTGATAAATTGTTTACTCAAGCTACTAAGTTCTCAACACAAACACCGTACAAAACTAACAATATATATAGTAATACTCCGATAGGTTTAGGTTTAACTACAACTAACACACCCTTAAACCGAAAACCTATTCCTAAGCCCTCGCCAGAAATGAACGACTATTATTACGATGATGAAGATGATAACTATTATTATGAGCCCGTAGTAAAACCAAAATACATGCCCAGTTCAGAAGTTAGGCCCCAACGTCCCCCAATGGCACAAAACTACCGTGAATATGAGGATAATTACTCAAATATTGATGAACAATTATTAAAATTTAAGCAAACTAGCCCTAATCTTAGAAGGCCAATCAAACCAGTGACTAAAAATCAAAATGATATATCATATCTTATGACGAAAACGCCTTTTAAAGAATCTAATAAAAATCTGGAGGAAAAATTCATACTTTCACCACCATCCACCCAAAATTTAAATATTACGAAGCACCCAGAGATTGCTAATTACAAAATTAATCATAATTTGGTTCAAAATAGAACAATAAATATAAGGAAACCGATATACAGTGAAAATGGTCCACACACAGTCAGACCTCCAAAATATTTAAATCAAACTACTCTAAGACCATACACTGTAAGGCACAGATTAGCTAAGCCAACTGAAGGATCTAAAACTGTAGAAAATAAGCAAAACAAGGGAAGGATTAGGCATCCAAATATTGTGGCACAGATGCTTACCACCCCTCGTGATAACTACAATCAAGAAACTAGATATACAAAGTCTAAACATGATGGTAAATCTAACAGGTAAAAGATCCAGAATCAACTATGAACAAACTCTATACTCGTAGATACATATAAGAAATATTCTTTTTCTTTTTAAACTACATAATAATGCTTTGGATTAATGTATATTTAAAACACAGAAATATTGGGTAATTCAACTGAAAAATTTAGTATTGAATATAACGACATGTAGACTTTGACAAAGTACGGACATGACTTTTAATTGACATTGTTTTAAGTATCAAGATTGAAACCAGTTTAATAAATCTTAAAGAATCTAATTCTTAAAATTTTTAGCCTGGAACCAACTGAAAGTGTGACACCATCCTCTTTTTCGCCTAGTCCACGACCGAAAATGCTCTACAATGGATCACAGAACTACAGTCCTGATCAATTTGATCCTTTTTATGCCGTCTACGATGAAGATGGAGAGCTTTATAAAGATACAGGTAAGCTAAGTCACAAAATTTAATAGTATTTATTATTACAGGTACAGAGGAGCCGTGGTGGCTCAAGGGCCTATAGTTTACGCTGGTATTTTGTGAGTGCTTTGGCTAAGCACTGACTGTAAATTCATAGTACGCGAGCAATCGAAATTCGATTCCCGTCGGCACAAATTAAATTTTTGATCGCAATTTAAGCGATGATTTATCACGTGCACGGCGGGAAAAGAAAATCGTGAAACTTGCATGCCAGAGAAATAAAAACAATATTTCGAAGCCATGTGAAATTGGCCAATATGAATTATGGCAGCGCGATGTCAGACATTCCCTTCTCCTAAAACACTCTTACAAATGACAGGAAGCCTGTGCCCTGCAGTGGGGTCTATCTATCTACTTTACCTTAATTTTATGAAGATCCATAATAGTATGTGAAAAAATCTTATAATCAGCGTACATATAACCAACAAAAGCTTAATAATATACTGTGTGATCTCTCACTATAAATATTACTTAACCTTGAGTAGCGCGCTTATGGGTTGAGTTATTTTACAGATTACGTCCAACAATACAATACTGCTTCACTGCGACCTGTGGTCCAACAGACGTACCGTGGGACACCGCCTCCTACTCGTAGACCAGTCGAGACTTACACACCCAAACCAGTAGTTTCAGACGACTATGATGATGTTCTAATTCAAGAACAGGTATAATTTTAGTAATAAATCGCATTATTAAGATACATATTATTCGAATTTTTTAAAGAATTCGAACTATTAAACTATTTTCAGATCAATAACCCGAATCAGTATCAAACACCTGTTCGTCATTCTACAAGGTAAAATTTTAATATTACACTTATTACAAAAAGTTACCTATATTTTGATAATTTTTTTAGTTACACATGAGTTAAACGCAGTATGCTTACTTATTAATTAAATCGATTCAGGGGCGAAGGTAATGAACTGGGCTACGAACATAACCCGAACAACGTGCGAACAACTGTTTATGAAGCTACTTCTTTTAGAACTAGTCCTTCTACAACTAGCACAACCACAACCACAACTACCACCACACAACGCTCTACAACTGCACTCTTCACAGAAGCTATGACCCCGTCACGATTTACTTCAAGGTACTACAAAAGATATCTATTCTAGAGAGTTTTAGTGTCATTCATGCTTGTCATTGTGATTAAATTAATTTAACAATAATTTTACACATATTATTCATTTATTCATCATATATTTATTAAGCACTTTTTAATTTACGTTTCAATGCAACCTTTAAATATATTACTAACTTAAATATTAACTTTCCTTTATCTACTAAACTCTCATTAATTGCTTTCCTTGTCTGTTTGAAGGTTGTATTAAATATGTTAAGGTTGTGTTCATTCTTCACTTAATCATTCATTATTACTGTAAAGTTAAACAAGTCACATAAAATAAACAGGCTTTTGTGGTATCTTTTGCCAATTAACCATTTAAAAAACACAAAATATATAATACCTATAAAGGGTGAAGATGTTGTACAATGTATAATTAGTAATATTTACGCCAATTTTAATGTTGCACTCACATAGTTTCAAATTCAAACTAACTATGTAGTCTCAATGATTAACAATAGATTTTTTCTATTTGAACATTGAAATTATTAGACCTTAAATTAGATAGTTTTCTTTTGCTTTATATTCAACAGATTCTCTGCAGATGAAAATCCTGGTTCCTCAACCCAAAATTCTTTTACTGAATCCACTTCAGTTCCTTCCACCCTTCCGCCAGTCATAAATATTTCATCCCGAGCAAAACCCTTTAGAATGACTGATAACTCACACCGATTAGTTGACTTTTTAGATTCGACTGAAGCACTACCGACACATCGACTTCCTACTTCTGTAACTAACGCAAATAACAATACCGATATGAAAATCGTAGGCTCGAATACAACTAAAAATAAATTATCAGTATCAACTGGTTTTACAATAAGAAGAAACGCAAACAACACTAAAAACCCATATACTTTAACAGTTATCACTCGACCTTATGATGGATATAATACCTCAAAAAAAGTAATTACATTTGAAAATAATAATTTTAATGAACAGAACACACAAAGATTGTACTACAATACTAACGAAGATAATGCTATGAAACTGAGTAAGACAAAAGTGACTGTAGATAACTACAATAACGAAAGTCCATTAATAAATAGAAGAGGTGAAATACCCTCTATCCAACAAAATAAAACCAATGAGCATCATTTAATAAAAACAAAATATAAAAATGAAAGACATGGACTAAGAATAAATACAACACCGGCAACTAGTGCAAGTACAAAGTACTACTTAAAAAATATTATAAAGCGTCCATTGCCATTATCTTCTACTGAAGAAATCGGTGATATTACAGAAAATGTAGTAAGAACCAGCCATTTTTTAACAAATATGTCTGGTGAAGATGCTTTATTAAATGATAAGAAAATTTATGAGCCAAATGGGAAAGAAGTAACTGATAATTTGCAAGAAACTATACAAGTCCCATTGACATCTCTAAACAATTCATTTGAACAAAAATCATATATTGATGATTTCATACAAGATTACTCCATGAGTTCAACCACTTTGCATACTACTACATTAAAGCAATTTTATGACCAAACAACTGATGAAGACAAATATGCTTCACGCAAGCCATCTTATTATAGTTACAGCGTAGACGATGAAATACCACCTGATCATACTACTAAAGTACTTAGAGGTAAAGTTAAAAATGTAATAAAAACCTTCTTTAATAACTTAGTGTCACATTCAAGAGCCACAGAAAATATTTATGTTTCTACTCCTAAAATTACATCAACTACATCCGAAACTATTGTTAATATAGGGTATCAGAAAAAAAAGTTAAAGTATGTTGATGACAAGCCCATTCGAGGTAACGTCAAGTATTTAGAAATTATAACAGAACCAAGTGTAAGTAGATTTACAACCCAAAGTGTTGATTCAATCAGTTTCACAGAGTCTTTTGACAGTGTTCAAAAAGGATTGCCTTTAGAAACTATTTCTACTGAATCCTTTATTACTACTACGCCTATTATACAAATTGACTTAGAAACGTCAGTTAAAGTAACAAATAGCTCTGAAAGCAAACAATATCAAGATATAAATAAAAACTCTCTAAAATCTAAATTCAGCAATCTTTTAACCAGCTCTGTATCAGTGCCAGTAGAAAAATCACACAAATATCAAAACATAATTGATGACGCACTGATTAATAAAAATAGTGATAACCTAAATATTTCCAACATCGACGTCATGAATGAGTTTATAAAACCAACGACAGCGTACGAAGATGAGATTGTAACAATGACTGAGATGGACCAACATCAACCTATACCAGCTATAGCTGATGTTGCTTCAACAACTAGTACCACAAAATCGACTACGACCGTAAAGCTTGAACTGAAAACAACGACTAAAAGTTTATCCTTTCCGACAAGAGCCTCACGTGTAAATCCTGCTATAAAATTAGCCGCAGCAAACCTTGGAGGTGGGCGCAGGAGTTACCAATCGTCGACCAATTGCTCATCAGACAACAGTCTGCAAGCGAATCCAAAATGCAACGAAATCAAATATCAGAGGTACATAGCTCGCGCCCAATATTCAGTGCAGTCTGATGTTTATTCAAACATTACACAAGTGGGTGGAGGCTTCGTCTATTTAAAACGTCCTCATTTCCTGCCTCGCAAAGTAACTAGCATGATATTAAATATCCTCTAAAACAGTTTAATAGCACCTACTGCTAAAATCTGTCGCTTATACTATTTTCATTGGGGGACTTGAAAATTGGTTCAATTTAAAATTAGAATTGTTAACTCCTGACGTGACCATTTCCGATTTAAGCACTTCTGTGACTTTTTATTTAGTGTAAAATAATACTTAATTAGTAATTATAATAATGTAAAAGTTCCTCAATGCCTGCATTTGCACCTCAAACCAATTCATCCATTAGTTAATAATTATCGTGCACAAAATCACTACCAGTAAGTTTCTTCCACATATGCATTGCATGGCAAAATAATGTATTCAAGTTCAAATTTTTATACTCAATTAATTTATGTATGAGATTATGCAGGAGTATAATAGGCTTTAGATTAACATAAAATATAAATACTTTTTAAATTATGAAAAGAAAATTTATGCACCGAAGGATGTACTGCTTTCCTTTAAAATCACGCATACTAATTATAAAAATATTAAACGAACAATTTATTAGAGAATTTTATTTTTCACAGGCCAAGTAGCACACGTGGTAGGGGCTCAGCGCATTATTCCCCATTAAGCGGTTCGGAGGCGCCTCAGCAGCAACAGCAGTCTAATAGAGGAACACCACCAACGTTAGAATAAATTCATTAAATACTAATACTAGTATAATCCCAGGCAAGTTGGCAATAGCCAACCTCGGGTTGGTTGGCAACACGGAATATTAAAAACTAGAGAAAGTGGCAAAGTGCATGATTTGTACTAGAACAAGTGTCACCAAGCTCACACATTAGCAAGAAAACAAACGTGTGCCGACTGTTATGCAATATTTCAATAATTTTCGAGTGATTGGCTAGGTATTAAGAAACAATAGCGATATTTTTTGTTACTCGCCATTTTATTGATTACGAACCATAATAAGGTATCAATGGAAACCATGTTTCTTTTAATCTAGAAAACTTCCAGGATAAGCAAATTCGGCTACTTAACGTGAGATGTTGCAGTGATAATGTGATCATTTTGAAAACGCACCATAAGTTGGTACAAATGTAGAGATCATTATGTATTTTATCCAAAAATATTCAATTCTATTACTCGACGCTAGATATTGCATAACAATTTTACGATATTATATGCACAATTTTGATCAGCTTTAAGTTGATTTTGCTATACATTACCTGCTACTCGAACAACTATATAATGTAATAATAGAAGAACAAACCATCGATGTTTATTTGTTTTTAAAGTATATGGAAACAAAATACTTTTAAATACATTTTTTATCAAAAAAAAAGATAAGGGTGACAAACGAGCACACAGCCTTGATGGTAAGTGGTTGCTGTGGCCCATAGACATCTACGTCTAGTATCAAAATGCAGATGCGTTGTCACCCGTGAGGACTAAGATGAAATGCCTCGTTTCCAGTAAAAAGGGTCTCTGGTTTTCTACACTCGCCAAACGAAACACAGCAGTTTTAGACTGCCATTTTACGCTGGTATTCTGTGAGAGCGTGGTCCTACCTCGGGCGAGCCAACCTACTCGTGCTATAACTATACTAATAATATAGCTGCAGCATGGCTCTACCACATGGAAACCCTTCAAGAAAAAAGCCTACTTCCTTCTAAAAGGCCGGAAACGCACCTGTAATTCTCCTGGTATTGCAAATGTTCATAGGTGACAGTGGTCCCTTACCATTAACCATGTGCTGTACGGTCGTTTGCCTCCTCTTCCATAAAAAAATTAGTAATATAACATTTCATTTTATTTAATTACACAATTTATTGGAAATTGCATTATGTACTACGAAAATTCATTTATATCTATTTTTGCATTCCAATAATTCATAATACGGCATAAATACGAATATTATATCTATTAAGTAGTGACACGTCAATTCCTGACAATATGCCTGCAACTTACAGTCAATTAGGCAGTACTGCGCCAAATTGTGACATGCGTACCCCGACTAGTTTGTGCTTACTGTTTTTAATATTCCGTGTTTGGCAACAACTGTTTGTGCAACAAGCTTGGCAACTGTATAAATACTCAATCCCATCAATGAGGCAATCTATGGGTAGTGGCCTATATTAAGCGTTCAGTGAACTTGTAATGGGGGTGATAGGAATGAATTAATATCTTTTTTATTGCTTAGCCTTTTTCGTTTTTGCTGCTGTACCTCCTAGTTTATCTGTTCATGGTTGACTAGGAGAAAATGTATAATTAGTTACTTTACCTTATGTTGGTATTGTAGAGACTCCATCACCTCATGTCATCCAGTGGGTATCACAAGAGGTGACTATAGGATATTCCAGAAAAATATCATGGCCATTGACAGATGGCAGTAACCTTCTCGTTTTTGCTACATATAAAATACCCAGGCCGGCGTCAAGATGTATCTTGATGCTGTAGCAACAAAGTTGCGAGATGTTAAGTGATGAAGTCACCAATCTGTCTATCACGTGTAGCGTTTAAGGCAAAGACATGCACACATTCAGCAGTAATTTTTACGGGCTAGTGATGAAGATGAAGAATTAGTCCCTTAGCTTTTATATGAATGATTCTATGCGAAAAGTTTTAAATAAATAAGTAAGAAACTTGTAATTTTTATTTATATTGTACCAAGTTATTAATAATCAATATTGATTTAATTTCCAAGCAGTCGCAGTCGTCCCACCCTCAAACCATCGACAGCTATTGTTTCCGAAAATATCAAGTTTGTGGATATATACGCTAATCCACCAAGACGACCAGCTCCGGTTTATCCACAACCCACTCCGGACAAAACTGCGGCCAAATGCAGAAAAGACGTCTGTTTGTTACCAGATTGCTACTGTGGTGGCAAGGATATTCCCGGTACGCTTATTATGTAATATTAAAGTAAAAATATCTTTAATGCTATGTCAATAATTAAATATTGTATCAATTTTGTCCGTGTGTTAAATGAATCTGCCGTCTTAGGAAATTTGCCTGTCAGCGAAGTACCTCAAATGGTACTAATCACTTTCGACGACGCTGTGAACGATTTAAATAAAATGTATTACGAAGAATTATTTGAAAGTGGACGGGTTAATCCAAATGGCTGCCCAATATTGTCCACTTTCTATGTATCTCATGAATGGACAGATTATAGTCAAGTACAAAATCTATATGCAGATGGCCACGAATTTGCTTCACACACAATATCGTAAGTCTACAGGATCAACTTGGACCTATTGGATCTCTTCTGCATAGTCTGGTTATAAGTATATAAAGTATAAATTAGCCAAGACTCGAACATTTCTATACGATATTTAAAATATCTTATTATTGTTGTAAGCAATTCTTGTATATATGTATATATTTGATTGGTATCTCGGGAACGGCACTAACGATTTGGATGAAATTTTGTATTTCGATATTGTTTAATTTTTCTAGTTTATCAAGATAGGTTTCATCACTGAGATAATAATTATTTTTCCAAAGCCGTGCAAAACTCAGTTGCCCAGGTACTTTACACTAAAAAAATTATTTGCTGAATATGTTCGACTTTTGGATTAAAACTAACCGTTTACTCTTGGCCATCTTTATGTAAAAATACATAGAAGCCTTAACTTGTTTTTATACTTTTATTAATATTTTTTGTTTCTCTTTTCCTTCCTCTAAACCTGTCTCTTCTTCCTCTTCCTGGCACTATCGGTATCAATAACCACATGCACAATCACTACCTATAACCCGCGGAAACAGGTGACTTACCGGTGGAGAGTGTGCCACAAATCGTTCTACTGACGTTTGATGATTCTGTTAACGATCTAAACAAAGTTCTGTACGCTGATCTATTTGAAAAAGGCCGTGTGAATCCAAATGGTTGTCCAATTAGTGCCACATTTTATGTGTCACACGAATGGACTGACTATAGTCAAGTACAGAACCTTTACGCTTCGGGACATGAGATGGCTTCGCATACAATTTCGTAAGTTAAATATTTATTGTACCAGCACAAATAAAATGAAAAAAAAAAAACCATATCATATTTCCCCCATCTCACCTTTTACATTTTATTTTAGATATAATTTTCTTTTACGCAATTTCTTTCTTATTCTAGTTTTTATAAACTTATTTTACTAATTTTCAAGTATATTTCAACTTTAACCGAACTAACTGTAAATGGTTTTAGGTACAATTTATTTCAAAGATTCACATTAAAATTCTTTTACTTCCACTTTCAGCCACAGTTTCGGAGAGCAATTTTCCCAAAAGAAATGGAATAGAGAAGTAGGTGGTCAAAGAGAAATATTGGCGGCTTATGGTGGTGTAAAATTGGAAGATGTTCGAGGCATGCGAGCTCCTTTCCTCTCTGTTGGTGGAAACAAAATGTTCAAGATGTTGTACGATTCTAACTTTACTTATGATTCTTCACTGCCTGTTTATGAAAATAGACCACCAAGTTGGCCTTACACTTTGGATTACAAATTATTCCATGATTGCATGATTCCACCTTGTCCAACAAAATCTTATCCAGGTAAATAACTTTTTTCAATTAAAGTATACTGACGCAACCGCGCTCCAATTACGTAGAGAGCGATTCAGCAAGTATTAAAAATAGCAGTAGTTTCGGCTCGCCGTTCACTTAGCAGCCAGCCTCCGCAAAGTCAACTTCACCTGAGGATGTGTCACACACATCCTCACAAACACATGTCGTATTTTCGAGAGTGGTGTGTCGTGCCTAGTGTAGGCTGGGATTGACGGCGACGGGTATAGTGCGCGCGATTGAGGGAGGGTGGGAAGTCCCCTTAAAACTGGGCAGGACACATAATTTTCTTTCCTTACGCGGAATTAAGCAAATTAGCTTATAACAACCCCATTATAATGGATTTTCGCAAAGTAACTATTAATTAAAATAACTTTAGACCGTATGAGGAAGCTCGAGTTACTCAACGTGGGATGGAAAGGGAATTTCTCTGCGGAATAAAGTCCATTACGAGGATTTTCACAAAAAAAAAAAAAACAAAAATAACTGATGGGCCGGCCATATAGCTAGCTCAAAGAACCAATTCAAATGTGTAAAAACTGTGTTTTGAGTGTAAAAAATGTTTTTGAGTGGCAACGTAACGCTGGCAAGCGCGGTGTTGGGTGACCGCTCACTAGATGCAATAACAAACTGATTAAACATGCAGGTAGTCGATGTATGCAGGTGAAATAGGAACGTGCTTAGTGGTAATCTATGGGTGGGTCTTTGTTCAGCAGTGGAATTGTGATGCGCTGTAGTGAAAGCTATAAAATAACAACAATAATTTCGCAACTTCACAACTTTTAAGAAAATATGATGCTTAATAATATGAATATTAAGACCTTTTTTCATTGTAGGTGTTTGGGAGGTTCCTATGGTTATGTGGCAAGATTTAAACGGTGGTAGATGTTCTATGGGTGACGCATGTGCCAATCCTCCTGAAGCTGAAGGTGTTTACAAAATGCTTTTAAAGAATTTTGACAGACATTACACAACTAACAGGTAAATTATTAGATGAAATTTAATAAAAAAAAAATTCAAGTTTCTTCGTAAGTGTTGACCAATATTTAATAACAATCCTTAATTTTTAGAGCTCCATTTGGGCTATTTTATCACGCAGCATGGTTCACTCAGCCACATCATAAGGAAGGTTTTATTATGTTCTTGGATTACATAAATAAAATGAAGGACGTATGGATCGTTACCAATTGGCAAGCTTTGCAGTGGGTGCGCGATCCGACTCCTATATCAAGGCTCAACAACTTCCAGCCTTTCCAATGCAATTATCAGGTAATTATTCAATCTCTACTAGTATAAAGTGAAAAAAAAATAGTTTTTTTAAATTATTTCTTATAGCAATAGACAAAAGGAATTAAATATTGGAAGGTAACAAGATACCACCTGAAATGCGTAATGCTTGATGTTGATCCTTACTAAACTGGGAAGGGCCCATGTCCAGCAGTAGACTTTTACGAACTGATGTTTAAAAAGAAGATGACTATAACAAGATAAAATTGTGAATCATTTAAGTGAATATTGAAATTTTTATATATCCACATCCTCATATCGTGCCGTGGCTGTCGTAAGAGGTGACAGAGGGGACAAACCGTTAGATGGACAGCGTCTCTCTAATAACTACTGGAAAACAAAAGAACTGCGGTTGTTAAACGGCCTTTTGTGGCAATCTATGGGGTGGCCTATACTGTGGATTTCTTATGAATTAATATTTCTAATATAAAAAAATTTAAAGAAAGTTTCGCGTTAGCTCTAATTGCGAAAAAAGAGGTGCCTTTTAAGTCAGATTTGGTATAAACTTCAATTGAAAATGAATTATATTCAGTCATTTTAGGTTTAAACCAAAAAACTACTTTGTTGTTGATGATGCTGGTCAAATATTGCAAGCTAATTTTGGACAACTTCCTCCAAACTTTATATGATTTCATGGTTTTACTTATATTTGATAGAGATAACCTGATATGCAGCACTATTTCATCTAGAATTTACTCCACACAAGAAACTCGGTATCATCTTAAAGTTGAACATGAACGTTGAATTTGGACATCATAATGACGACCCTAGGCTGCAACCCAGGATCGTCTCCTCTTTAATGGTTATTGATATCGTTTTAAAATTTAGTATACATGTTGATGTTGGACGAAAAAGCATAACCCTAATTATATTTTCATGCTGGAGCTAGCGCAGTGTCCTTTTAAGGGAACTCCTTAACGGTTTCCGGCATAGTTATAAAAAATATTTTGTGTCATAATATATTTAAATATGTGTTGCGTTTCACAGGATCGTCCCAAGAAATGTAACAATCCCAAGGTCTGCAATCTTTGGCACAAATCTGGCGTAAGATATATGAGAACATGTCAGCCCTGCCCCGAAATATATCCCTGGACTGGGAAAACTGGAATTAAATCATCACGTATCGATAATGAAATCGAAGAATAATCGCATCTCATAACAGTAAACTCGTGTCCGTCCTTGACAATGAATGATCTTTTCCGTTTAATAATTATAAGCCAACGAGGCAACGACCATGCTGTTTATGATTATTTGAAAGTAGAAATTGTTTATTACCAACTATAGTGTGCCATTTAATAGACGGTGGTCACAAAATCTATTATATTAAACAATTTATTCGTAGTTGAGAGATGTGATTTCGAATTTATAGTAGTGTAAAAAAAAATGCTTTTTTAAGCTACTCGTTGTATTATGTATTGGAAACTGTGATATTTATTGTTTTCAATCCCAATGTGCAACAAATATTAATGAGTAATAAACATTATTTAGCATATCTGTTAAAAATAGTGAATGCAATACTTTATTGCAACAATCCCCACTTTGTATTAATTTTATTTTGTATTTGAAGGTATATAAAGTATTGGGAGAAGGCCATGTACATAAAAAAGCAATACATAAAAATTGTAGACAAAAACATTTATACTCTATAGTGTAAAGACGGTATCTGACTTTTCATACAAAAGCCATATTAAAATTTAGAAATTTTTTTCTAATCTTGCCAGCTTTGTGCTTGACACTGCCTTTTTTAAAAATAAAGTGTAAATATAGTATTAGTTTATATTTAGTTATAGAATAAGTTTTCTATCAACACAAAAATGCAGTTTTTACATTACTTTTAAAAAAAATTAGCATTGCATAGACGTCTGTCCCCATCGCGTTACTGATGCAGCACATGTCTATGCGACGGCTAAGAACAAAACGACATGAAATTATAATATATAAAAATACTATTTCTTACCTTATTCAAAAATATCGATGCAAAATTAATTATTCTGTCATTTAAAAAAGAATTCAAACGTATAAATTCCTAATTTAGTTTTAATTACATTAGTATGCTATCGCTACTAAAGTGGTAGAAAGCGCTTGCTATGAATTTATTTAAAATGAGATCTTTATATGATAGTTATAAGTAATTTTACTGTAAATATAGGATTTAATATTTAAAACTGATACTCTCTCTTTCTACATCGGCGATCTGATTTTATTGTATTTTATCAACTATATTCGGCTATTTCGATTTGTCTCAAACACAATAACTTTATTTAGATGAACTGGTATAATGTATGTAAAATTTTATTAGTATATTTTTGTAATGACATTTGTGATCCATGCTGATTAATAAACGCTATTAAAATATTTTGTTTTCATTTATTTATATGATCGTCCTTGTGTTCTTGTGTTTATTCGATCCTTTACGCTTCTTACACTGGATATAGGGAGCAGAAGTGTGATGCTCTTGCTCTTCAAAAACAGTGGTAATGTAAGACGTCTTGGGGTTTTACTATTCTTCTCACTCACAGACTCGATTATTTCCAGCCTCTCGAAAAAGCTTTTTTACTATAATATTATCCTACCCTTCAACGGCACAGTTCGACAAATAATATATGTCGAACGGTGCCGTCAATGGCCTGTAAGACGTCTTGGGGTTTTACTATTCTTCTCACTCACAGACTCGATTATTTCCAGCCTCTCGAAAAAGCTTTTTTACTATAATATTATCCTACCCTTCAACGGCACAGTTCGACAAATAATATATGTCGAACGGTGCCGTCAATGGCCTGTAATCAAACCGGCTCTGCATACGCTTCAAGTCAGAACGCAGCAGAATAAACCCTGCTTTTGGCCGCTATTAGAAATGGATCCAGACAGAATCCTAGACATAAAAGAAGTCCAACCACCTAGTAACATAAAATATATTTTACCAATTATATATTATACAAAAGATATTTATTATTTTGATTAATAAATTATTTTTTTGATTAATAAATAGCTTCACTACATATTTTACATTACTCATCATATGTCATCATACTTATATGTCAACAGAAGAATCCAGGTTCGTATCCTGGCAGGGGCGCCATGTAATGTTGGTAAGGTATGTCAATGAGGAGACGCGTTCCTTGTACTAATTAGATTACTTAAACTTATTCTACCTTGATTCTAATATATATTGTTGTGGGGGCTACACGACACTGCAACAGCCTGTTAAATTCCACTGCTGAACATAAGGCTCTCCCATAGATTGCTTCCTAGTGGGGATGTTTGCCATAGTTGCCACACTTGGCAAGCGGGTTGGCGACTACAGTTTTTATTTTTAGTTATATTAAAAAGACGGTGCTTCCCATATCCTAATTCGATTCCCTCTGTCGCCTCTTACGACACCCACGGGATATGGAATGACGGGAGTATTCTCAGAAGGTTTATACGTGGTAGAGCCATGCTACAGGTATATTAATAGTATAGTTGTAGCACGTGTGGGTCGGCTCGACCGGGGAAGGACCACGCTCTCACAGAACACCAGCGTAAAATATCAGCTTAATGCTGCTGTGTTTCGTATGGTGAGTGTAGAGAACCGGAGACCCATTTTACTGGAAAAGAGGCATTCTATCTTAGTCCTCACGGCTGACATCGCATCTGCATTTTAATTCGCAAACGGAGATAGATGTAGATGTCTATGGGCTACAGCAACCAGTTACTGTGTGCTCGTTTGTCACCCTTATTCTATAAAAAAAGACGTTATTACGTCACAGTAATAAATGATTCAATACAGCTACCGCTTAACGGTGTATGCATTGTGGAGACTTCAGCCGATACCTGTGTAGGTTGTGCGTACAATGTGCCTTCTTTCTATTTGACAGAGCTGCAACACGCATGACATGCGCCAAAAGTTACATGAATCGCGCAAGCTTCAGCCGATACATATACTTTGAAGTTCATGCACTGCACATGTAGGATGGGCATACATAGAGGGATCTTTCGATATGTCAAAGATGGAAGACAAACGACATGCGGATTTCGATCTGCGAGTATTCGATAGCATTGGTCTTGTGATGGGGTTTAATGATGATGTGGATGAAATTTATGCGAAAAAATATCAAACCGAAAATTGCCAGAGTAAAATTGCGATCAAATGCCTGCGTGCAAAGTGCGATAATTAACTTTGTATAAGAATTTAAGAAAAAATTGAATTTGATATTTTTGTGGCGCTTAATCAAGGAACTTATTACGTGTTTAGGTGGTTGGATTTGTTGTAGAAGCTGTAAAAAATATTAAAAGTACTTTCAATTTCTTCAGAAATTGTTCAAAATTATTCCGCTTTCAATTAAAAGATGGAAAATTTTAACAGAATGTTTCGGTGGAAATAAAGTTTCCAGTGTAAGAAAATTTAGAAGTTTGTTTTCATACTCATTCATTGATTACAGCCTATGGAAGTTTCACTTAAACTTTCACTCAAAGTTCACTGTTGAGGACTTCGTAGCGATTGCCTCATATGGGAGATATTTGCCATAGTTTCCACCTTAATATACCCAATGTGGCTTGGATATCGCAGTTTTTATTTTCTGTTTGTTATTAGGAATATGGTGTTGCCCATCTCTTGTTCTAGTTTCTCTTTGTCGCATCTACACGGTGGTATGGAACACGGTGAAGCAAGTCTTGTGTTATTTTAAAATTATATTTTTTTCTAAAGCGGCAAGAAATCTTTTTTTATAGTTAGTAGAAATAAGGGTTACAAACGGCATAAGTCTACTTGTATGTAAATGAATGTGGTAGCCCATAGGCACCTGCATTGATCGTCGATAAAGGATAAAAAGGCAGATGCGTTGCCACTTCTTGAGTACTAAGATGGAATGCCTCGTTCCTAGTATAATTTAAAATTCACCAAAGGGACCACACGAGAAGTACCAGCTTTCAAATAAAAAAAGAATCATCGAAATTTGTTCGCCCAGTAAAAAGTAAAAAGTATGAGGTAACACACATGAAAAAAAAAACAAAAATAATACAGTCGAATTGAGTACCGTCTCCTTTTTGGAAGTCGGCAGAAAAGAGGCTCCGATTCTCTTTGCTTACCATACGAAATACAACAACATTATGTTGTTATTTTATACTGGTACTTTGTGTGGTAGGACCTTGGTTAATCTGACTTATTTGCGCTGCAGCCACAATACAGCTGCAGCGAGAGCCTCGTCACGAGAGTCCAAAAACTGAGACAGAAATAGCCAAATCTATACAAATAAATAAAATTGAAGTTTCTGTTTGTAATGTCAAAATACATAACAGCTTTTCACTAGATACATGTCATAATATATACATATAACAAAGAAAAGAATTTTTAAATTTTTTGTGTGTGTGTCTGTCTGTCTGTTTGTTCCGTCTATTCTCCGAAACAGCTATACCGCTTAGGCTACTTTTATTTTATTTAATTGGGGTCTTACGCAAAAAAATTAAAGCCTACGAAATCCAACGGTAATGAATTTCACGCGGGCGGGTATTGCAATTGTTTTGCTCAAAAAATACAAACCCATCAAACATTGCAATTCGTTCGCAGATAAAAACGATCGATGGTGACCAGTTGAAATGTAAATACAAAAAGAGACATCAACGCGAATGAGTTTAAATCGAAATTTTTTCACTTAAAATCCTACTTAAAGACCTTGAAAATGAATCCGCGAAGTTGAGTGTTTCGGCTCTGCGTACTCCAATAAAGGCAGATGAAATAAAGGAAACTTGTGGAATGTGGAAGTATCTACGAGGACCATTGCTTTGTATTTAGTAACTGTAGTGAAGAGCATTCTGTTCCACAACTAAAACTAATAAAAAATTAACTACGAACGTCCATTTTACGTTAATTTGTCAATTGTATGTAAATCTCAAAACAGTAATAACTGTTGAACTGATGTTTGATACGTATAAAGATAACTGTAATAAACAGTAAAGTCGCCAAATGAAAGTAATTTTGTTGTATAAGTAAGTTAAATTTTGGTGTTTTTTTTTGCTTTTTTTGGCAGTCTAATGTTCTAACTATGTATGTCATATATGTGTCAAGGTGTAGGTCAAGGGACTCTGCATGATAATATATTATGTACTATACTTTGAAATTGGAGATAGCGTGGTTTTATTGTAAATTTCTTGGAGATATATAATTAAACATATAAATTAAGTTGAAACGTCTGCCTGTAATATTGAAATGATGCTAATATGACTTACACAACCATTTTATAAATTTTTTGTTTGCCTGTCTGCCTGTTCAAGCTAATCTTCGGAACGGCTGCACCGATAGAGAGCAATGCCAGGAGTTGATCTTGGCATTACTAATGAGGATCTTGGCATTGATCTATGAAGATCTTTACATATTACCTTCCATGTTTTAAAGTTTTAAAGCAAAATCGATTTTTTCACCATTGAACACCATTTTCTGATTGCTTATATTTACAAAACTAATTCTGCGGATTTAAGTTAACTTATTTGCCGACGTTTCGGGTGCTATACAATACCCATAGTCACGTGGGGGGATAAGTAAAATTAAGCGTAAAAGTTAAAAAAAATTAAAAGTAAAATTAAGTAAGATACGTAAAATAGGTTTAAATCAAAATTATGAGAAAGGATAATACTAATACTCTTTTTACGTAAAATTTATATTTTCAAATTTTATTATTACCTAGCTGTTTGTAATTTAGGGTTTTAATTTTTTTGCGAGGAACCCTATTTATTTTTCTAAAATAAATGTAGCGTAAGTTACTCCTTATGACATCAGCTATCTGCCAGTGAAAGTCCCATCAAAATCGGTCCAGTCGTTTCGGAGATTAGCCGGAGCAAACAGACAGACAGACAAATTTTTTAAAAAGTGTATTTTTGTTATAAGTACCGTTTATACTTTCATATGCATTTAGTAAAACACTGTAATTTTGACATTACAAACAGACACTTCAATTTTATTTATTTGTAAAAGAAAATTTTAAAAATTAATTTATAAATTACTTTTATTGTTCATAATATATTCAATAATTTTCAACAAAGTGCATTCGTAATAACCTGAACCGTTTAGCTTTTTTTATAGGAGAGGGAGCTAACGAGCATGCGGCTTACCTGATGGTAAGTGTCTACCGCCGCCCATGAACAACCGCAACACCAGGGGAATTGCAGATGCGTTGCCGGCCTTTTAAAAAGGAGTAGGCTCTTTTCTTAAAGGTCCCTAAGTCGTATTAGCTGAGTAAGTAAAACAGTTTTTAAATACTGTTTGTAACAACTCTAATTATGTACATTAGTAAAAAATGATTTTACTGTCTCCTTACTGTCATACGCCGGTAATGTAGAGTCGCTGACTCTAGCGAAGATTAGGTTCAAGTTAAAGATACATAATAAATCGTTCTTTGACTAACAATTTAATGGTACTCACTAAATCATTTGTTGACCAAACATTGTGCCAGAAAAGTAAATAAATATTATAGATCTGCAGGTTTTCATTGTTTATGTTTTACGCCACGAAGTCGGCAAAAAATTCGGATTGACGCTATTTTAAAATAATAAATGAGGAGAAACCTTACGTGGTGAGTTATAAACAATGAGTAAAAATCTTTAACATATACAAAAACTCATATATATGTCTTAAGTGAACACGTCAATTTTATAGCATTAGGTGTAAAGTACTTATAGGAAGAAAAATATTTGCAAAGGCCATGTATCCATGTACAGAAAAGAGTGGCTCTCTCGCATTCTTTTTGATCCTGATTAGGAAGTCAAATTATTTTCATAATATACTTCATAAAATACTTATTTATTTTCATAAATGAAAATCTCAGTAAGCAAATATCTATGAAATAAAGAAAAAGAGATCTATCTCTTAGAATTTTGTGGTTCGCCAATTTATACGATAAATAAATAATTGTAATGTATTCATCGTAATTTTTAATTAGAAACTGTTCACATGGAAGGTCGCATATCCGATACTTCTCGATAATTAAAAGCATAAAACAAAGCAGCAACAATATGATAGATAGAGCCTTTAAGAGATCATTTTTTTATCGGTGTAGAAAACTAACGTCCGTAACTATATTTATTATTTAACCTTTGTTGTGCTTGCGAAAATGACGTCGTAAATTATTTAGTGCGTATTCGTAAAAGGCCAAGAACAAAATGAATTGGAAATTCCTATATGAGCAAAAGCAAAATTTGTAAAACCCTCCTCCGCACACACTTAAAAATGCACCTCCAACATGTTGAAAGACTATGGAATGATTGATGAAATTTTTCTGGACGATTTCAACCACGATCATATCTTTGAAACAACTACGATCAGAGGGTATGGTTCTAAGGATATTATAAGATTTAATATCCAGATCATAAGATAACTCGATCCGGCCTATCCGTATTCTATTCATGCGTAAGTTATATGTTTATTACTTCTGTATGAATACCAAAATAACAATTTTTCATATTAGATTGAACTTAGTAATAAGTTCGCCTTCTGGAATTGCCTTCGTACGAAAAACTAGTAGTTCATATCATGATGATAGCGTTGAAGTCATAAAAAATTAAATTTCAATCATAACACCTGGTAGGCAATATTTCATGCGTCAAGGTCTACAAAAATACTATATAAAGGTAAATCAATGAAGTTTCATTTGAGACAATTTGTAGGATTGTTTCTTACAGTGTGTCTATAGTGTTTAATGATATTATTTCATATAAAGTTATCAAAAATGATTTTGTTAAATTTTTCATACATTATAAGTTTATATTACATTTTTCATTTAGTTTACGGACTACAACAAATAGAATACTACTTTTCTCGATCTTTTCAAAATATTAAACAACTCAAAAGTGATCGCAAACTATATTCTAAAAATATTTTTCATAAAAATTATTTAACAGACTGTAAAAGTTACGATAACTGGTTAAATGTTCGAAACAATAATATATCGCTTCAAGGTTTGAAATCAACAAATAATAAAACTTCGAGGAAAAGAGCGATAGATTCCGTATTTCATGGATACCCTAAAACTAAAGAAGAAATTTGGCACGGAAATTTTCTTGATAAAGGCAAAATATTTGATCCAACTTTTTCACTTATTAAGCTTATTCATAATATTACACTTACATATTTGAACGACTGCACTCCCATCATACTTTACGACAGGCAAAAAGACAGCTACGTAGTTCAAAATCTGTTGAAAGATTTTCCAGCCTCATATATTCATGGATATATTGACGATAATGATCAATTAAGAGAACCAAAACTTCTTCAATTTAACAGAGATTGCATTCACTTCGTGGTATTTTTATCTGATGTGCAGAAAATTGCTAAAGTTTTAGGTAAAAAAACTGAAAATAAAGTTATAGTTGTGACAGGATCATCGCAGTGGGCTGTGCAAGAGTTTCTTGCAGGCCCTACGTCTAGGATGTTTGTTAATTTACTTGTAATTGGAAAAAGTTTTAAAGAAGAAGATAGCAATGTGGTATGACATAAGAGAAATTATTTTTTTATTGTTTATGATATAATTTAAATATCTGTTTAGTAAGTGTGCGTTTATAAATATATTTTCAGGAAGCGCCTTACATATTATATACACACAAACTATATATAGATGGATTAGGTGCAAGCAAATCTGTCGTCTTAAATTCTTGGTCTCAAGGCAAATTTTCTAGAGAGCTGAATTTATTTCCTCCCAAGATGAGTGAAGGTTATGCCGGTCATCGATTTATTGTATCAGCGGCAAATCAGCCACCGTATACATTTAGAAGGTAAAATAATAATTTGAAGGTAGATTTGAGTAATAATGTATTACTTATATTGGTTTAAAATGCACAGGGTAATGACAGATAGCGATGGTGGTAATCCGAAAGTTGTTTGGGATGGAATCGAGATTAGACTACTTAATTTGCTAGCTGAGAGAAATAATTTCTCTTTGGCAATAGTAGAACCTCGTGAGTTACATTTAGGGTAAGAGAAAGTTAATTTTATACAGTTGGAAATGAATTTTAATTATAAGAGAAATTTCTAAATGTATGTTTAATGATTGGTAATAACATTACTTACAGTTCAGGGGATGCAGTTGCTAAAGAAGTAATTAAGGGTAGAGCAGATATTGCAGCGGCGGGAATGTACATTACTAGTGAAAGTATTCGTGAAATAGATATGACTTTTCCACACTCTCAAGACTGTGCCATTTTTATAACTCTTATGTCTACAGCTTTGCCAAGGTGCATATCCATCATAATATTTTTTTTATATTATACTAATCCAGCGCTTAACCAAAATTTACGAATACCATTGAAAATTACAGTCTTTTTATTAAATACTTTTGTTCTAGATATCGAGCAATTTTAGGGCCATTTCACTGGCATGTTTGGGTGGCTCTCACTTTTACTTATTTAATCGGCATTTTTCCTTTAGCTTTTTCTGATAAACATACCCTACAGCATTTGTTACATGATTCCGGTGAAATAGAAAACATGTTTTGGTATGTCTTTGGTACTTTTACAAATTGTTTTACATTTGTGGGAAAAAATTCATGGAGCAAGACTACAAAGATAACAACGAGAATATTGATTGGTAAAGTAATTTTGGAAATTTTCTGTTTACAATTTTTTAATATTTTCTATCTCTTGTTTTATTTTTATTTTTTTATTACAGGTTGGTACTGGCTGTTTACAATTATAATAACAAGTTGCTATACTGGTTCTATCATAGCATTTGTTACATTACCCATATTCCCTGAAACTGTTGACACCGTTAGTCAACTACTATCGGGATTTTACAGGGTAGGAACCCTAGGTAAAAACATTAGAACATTTGTTTTCAACATTAATGTTTTTGATTCTAATAAATAATACATTTTTGGCAGATCGTGGTGGTTGGGAAAGATGGTTTTTAAATTCTTCAGATCCAAAAACAAATAAACTTTTAAAAAAATTGGAATTTGTACCAAACGTGGAAACAGGTATAAGAAATATAACAAAGGCATTTTTCTGGCCTTATGCGTTTTTGGGGTCTCGGGCCGAACTCGAATATATTATTCAGGCAAACTTTACAGAGACTAAGTATGCAACATTTTATATTTTAATTATGCGCACATAGAAACAAGATACTTTAATTTGACACATATCATTGACGCACATAACAATATACAAATTTATAACTAAGATATTACACATGGATTCAATAAGTTTGGCTTTGTATGTAAAAGGATGCAAAAAACGACATCACTCAGCATGTGTTGTGGTGACCACAGCAAATGGTTTCTTTCACTCGCTATTGCTCTTTTTGTAAATACGAATTAATTTAAAAATAACAATACGAAACTATAACAAACATTAACGTTTTTTAACCTTATTAATTATTTGATTATATTAATTAAATGTTCTGTCTCTAGGTCTAAACGTGCCGTACTACACATATCAAACGAATGTTTTGTACCATTTGGCGTAGCCTTAGGCTTTCCTCGAAATTCTGTATATTACGAAAAGTTAAGTGCAGATGTCCGAAGAATGTGGCAAAGTGGAATTATTGACAAAATTTTGAATGAAGTCCGCTGGGAAATTCAACGCACTACTAATGGCAGACCTCCGGTATTAAATTTGTTGATAATATCTTAATTTTCTTCTTCATTAGCCTTCAGAAGACACTCCACAGTTGGATATGGGACAATGTCTGCATTGTAGGGTGAATTTGCCTTAATGGTAACGCTTGACACTAATTTTCAGTTTATTGGAATTCGGATAGTTATACGCGAAATATTTCAACTTTGATGAAGCAGTAAAAACGCACGTTTATACAATGGCGAGAAGCGAGCACACCTGGTGGTAAGTGGATGATTCATCACAAAAGAAAATATCTCATAACCAGTAAAAAGGTTCTCCTAGTTATCATAACTCACTTTACAGAAGTTTACAAAACAGCTGCGATACGATGTTTTTGACGCTGGTATTTTGCATGATCCTTTTCCGGTTGAGGTGATCCATTCGTACCGCGTCTCTAACAGATCTTTGCTACGTTCAGGTATTATTGAACTTCAATCAAAAGAACAGACCAACATTGACCATATTAATGAATTGTTGCATAAATTAAATATATTTCATTCATTCACTACTACCTATCAAAGTAGTTTGCTGAACATAGGCCTTCCTATAGATTGTTTCATAAGGGGAATATTTGCCATATTTGCCACGCTTGGCAGGCAGGTGTGGCAACTGGGGCTTTTATATTTTTTTAGTTGTTACTAGGAAAACGCTGCTGCTTATTCGATATGGTGCAGTGGATATTTATACACCGCCACTACACGGTAACAATTTAACAAATGACATTATTTTGTAAAAAAAAATCATTCTATTTTGGGATGCTAATTTCATAGATAAGTTTCTCATGCTAGAGAAATTAAAAAACATCATATTATATTAACGTATAATAAAATACACTGCACAAAACACATTCTCGACGTTTCCTTGTTAGGGTGCCACCGTTTCATTGTTTCTGGTAGTTGGATATAGGGCGGCCACCGAAAAAAGGCTGCCTTTCGTCGATGACCGCGAGGCTGTTTGCGTTGACAAATTATTAATATTATTTACATTTTAGCGACAAAACTAAAAAAACAGAGTTCGTCTGTCTCTCATGGAGTGTATGTTTTTTATGCATTTATTTTACGCATAGACTTAAAATATTCAATTTTTTTTTCTGGGTTACTTGTTGTTGTTGTTGTTACTTGTCTGGGTTCGAATGAGATATAGAAAAAAGTTAAGGTTATTGTGTACCCAATGATGCCTTATTAAAGTATTAAATTCAACATTACATGATATTTCATTCATTGTATAGTTGTAGCACGAATAAGCCGACTCAACCGGGGAAGGACCACGCTCTCACAGAATACCAGTTAAATAGCAGCTTTACACTGCTGTGTTTCGTATGGTGAGCGTAGAGAACCGGAGACCCTTTTTACTGGAAAAAGAGGCATTCCATCTTAGTCCTCACGGCTCACAACGCATCTGCATATTGATTCGCAAACGAAGATAGATGTAGATGTCCATGGGCCACAGCAACCACTTACCACCAGGTGGACTGTGCGCTCGCTTGGCAGCCTTATCATATAAAAAAATATTTTTTGGGGTTCCGTAACACAAAACGAAAAAAAAAACAGAACATATTGAGGGTTACTTTGTTGTCCGTCCGTCTGTCAGGGCGTTTTTTCAGGAATGGGTATGAAAAGGTATCAAGTTAAATTTAATACCAAATAAATAAGGTTTACGGCTGCTTTGAGGAGTAAAAGATGTAGGCTCCTAAATCAATGCAGTTAAAAGACGTGACCATTAATGGGTCACATATTGACACTCGCAAACTCACTTATCAAAACCTTTATGGTACTTCTCGTTGATCTAGAATCATGAAATTTGGCAAGAAGCAAGGTTAACAGCACAAGAAAAAAAATGATAACGTTCACCTATATACTTAAAATATTTTTTGCGATTAGCAGTTAAGATTGATGAACGGAAAAACATTTTTTTCCACTGCAAAGTTAAGTTCTTCTTTAGCTACTTGTAACTTATACCTTTTCACTAAAGCAATGTTCGGTGTTTACTTTGCTTCTAATTTTCGGGATGGATGAACAATATATTTAGATAGATAATAAGGTTTATTCGAAACCCTCAAAGTACGTGTCCTACTCGCACTTTTCCGGTTTTTTTTTTAATAATGAAATTGATTTTAAATATTTCAGGTTGTTAAGGAAACACATAAAGTAACCTCGGCTGAAGAAAAAGGATTAACTTTAGAAGATACGCAAGGCATGTTTCTTCTTTTAGGAGCTGGATTTCTTATAGCGGCTGGAGCTCTTATAAGCGAGTGGATGGGTGGTTGTTCAAGGAGGTGTAGGTTTAGGCGAAAGAAGGTTGTACACTCCGGTACAAATTTAATAAACAATTTGAAATATGATGCAAAAATTATTAACAATGAATCTGATTTAAGCGACAGTAGGTTAGCTTTTACTAGTGCTGGGTCTAGAGAATCGTTAGAAGGTCAAGTTATAAACGTTTCTGAAGAGAGTATTGTCATTCACAACGAATATAATATATTTGAACCAGGTTCAAAATCAGTCTCAGCTGATTTTGATAGAGAGATAAAAGAAATTTTTGAAAGAGATCATCAGAGGCGAAACATTACACTTAACAAAGAAACAATAACAGCCGATAGAAAGCAGCAGATGACGAATTTAACCGGTGCCTTTGGAGGCTTCGCAAATACCCACGAGCTATAATATGTATAATGATATTTAATAAGTACTTCTTGTAGCTACAAAGAGCATAAAAATAACCCTAAATAATATATTCATAACTTCAATTTGGTTGTAATATAAGATAAATAAATAAAGTCCAAAATTGACATCCAACTCTTTATTATCCTTCGAACAGTCATCAAAATAATTTATAACAATTTTCTAACACTGTCCATTAACATTAAAATATCATTCAGCCACTGAGATGTTCATGATCATTACTCAATTTACACATAGAGCTGAATTGGCTGCCTCAACACAGAGATACAGTCGCCGTAGACCTTAATTAATGCAATATTTGGCCCGGCCTCACTCTTAAAAATAATATATTTCATGAAGCACCTTCGAAAAGTCGCAGGCGCCTCCTTACTATCAGTAAAAATATCGATAAAATACAACAGATTTTGCATTTTTGTAAATTCAAACGAAATATACCTAATACCTACCTAAGCATTTGTTACATTATGTATTGCACGACTGATGCTACGAAACAAATAAATGTGAAATCGACTTGAGTATTCAATAAGGATATGTATTTATATTCTTAAATCTATTTGGGTTGTTCACAAGGAGCTGTGGAGCAATAGCAAAAAGATAAAAAATGTTACATCTATCGTTACGAAATCTGTATTCATTTCTAATAATAAACGCTTAAGACTATATTTTTATTAAATGCAACAAATTACTCGTTCACTAAGGTAAAACAGAAGATGGTAAAGCCCTTTGCTATTGGCACACAGCGAGATAATTACAGGTAAAACATACACAAATGTAGGTACATCTAAAAACAAACCAAGCAAACCCTTTTTACAACAACACACAACACAGTTGTGCGTTAAATGAATATTATATAAAGTAGTAATTAATTAATTATATGCGAAATCATTCCCGATAGTAAAGCTCACAACCTCGGAAATTATGCTCCCAATACCAGCTTACTGATGAATTATTTTATACTAGAAAGTAGTTAAATATATTTATGTGCAGTCGACAAAATAGCTAACGTCTCAATATAATATAGACATTTTTTGTCAGTTTGTTCTTAAGTGAAAAATTTAATATGGAGTAAGACGAGCGGTGTTGAAATACTCCTGTGACAATACTATAAATAAACTCATCTGACTATCCTTATTACATTATATAATACGATTTATTAATTAATAAACGTTTAATTATCAATTTGATCAGAATAACAAAATTGGTGATAGGTATTTAGGTAACAAAGTTTAATGAATATCAGCTATGAAATAAGCATCTCTGGGTTTTAAGAACTACACTTTATTCAAAAACAGAACTGTACAACAAACATAAAACGGTAAATCAATTACCAAGTTATGACGGTTGAGCAAATTTTAATGGTGGTCAACACTAAAATGAATTATTAGGAACGAACGACCGAAACGATTTTTTTCAAATAACAAAATTTTAGTATTTTAAAAATACAAGAACTGCAACAGTGTATTGTGTTATATCACATTAACATTTATTCTAACATTTAAGGTGTACACAAATTATATATTTCCCCAAAGTAGAGGAAAAACATCAATTATGCTCAGGTATTAAAATATTATTTCGTTTTTACAACTACAGGTGTATATTATTTTACAATGCGAAAATACATTTTTTACTCGTTCAGACTTTTGAACATCCAAACTGGTTACATCCCTGTACAAATTCAATAAATACACATTAAAATTTTGTTATTGTGATGTGAAGAAGTCCACAAAAAGTTTATGTATACACGTGTCCTTTTTTATATAGTATTTACAATCACAATTTTTATTTTATTTTTCAGTTTAACAACAGTTTTATATATTACTATAAATTACGAAGTAGTTACATATTTCAACAACATTTTGGTAATGATAATGACACCATGGTGTGGCGATTGTAACAATAATATACATACGATATACGTATCTATAATTACCTGGTTTTGAAAAAGGTTGAAGCAAAAATGCTATCAAAGTACAAACTTGGTATAAAATGGTTACATTAGGCACTGTGAGTAAGGCATCTACAGTGAGAAGATATAAGGGGGAATACGATAACAGGACACAAAACGTCATCTCAGTATAATTAGCGGCACAAAAGTCTAGCGGTGATCGTTATTGCGCATAAGACGAAAATAAGGTATCATGGGGTAGTAAGCGGGTCGCGGGGCGAGCGTGGGTATCGTTCGCACGCGCTGATTGGCTCTATAGTCACATTCGTGCAATTCAATTCGCAGCTATCCTCTCCACATTTCGTTTAGCGCTAGAGTTACGTGCCGCAACTTTTACTGCGCGGTTATTTTAATAATTAATTTCGTTATAAAATGCTATCGCAGATTCTGAGATGAGTTTCTGGAAGTACATGGAACAACAGGATTTTCTAACAGCGCTAGCAACATTATGATTGATGCAAACAATGACTGCGATACAATAAATGATAATATGACTAAATATACATATGCAATTTTGTATCAACAATATTTTAACTATTTCATTATTATCCATTTTGATTACATAATAATTTCTAAAAATAGGGTGGACGTGATTTTATAGTGCAGTATCAAAATACGATTTTTATATCTTTGTGTTGTGATAAATATATTTTTGTGTATGTGTGTAAAACTTTCATATATTTTACAAATAGTATTGTTCGCTGTTACGGCACAACATATTTATAATGCGAAAAAAAAATAGCTTCAGATCACATTAACAAAATAAAAACGCTCTAACAACAAGCCATAACTTCCCTCTAGTAACCAATTACAGCCACTACATACATAAATACTAACATAGGTACTTTACAAGTACAGTTTTACATTTTATGATATTCAAAATTGACTTTAATTTTTGGTCTGAAAATGAGAAACGCCCGCACGATTATTTTTTAAATTTCAATTTCATTGATTTAAAAATATGGACATTTTCAGCAAGAAACGAATTTATATATTTCTGCAATGGAAGGAACTAAATTGTGACCTCATCCAGATCAATAGCTAGCAGTAGTTTTATAAAGATCAGGGTTATCGATGCAAGGGAGTCTAATTTTTAATATATAAACCGTGTTTGTTTACTTACAAGACTGCTCAGAGTGCGAGTGTTATCATAAGAATTTTAAAGCTTCGTGTGGTACCTTTATATACTCAACCCTAGCTAACATTATCTACTTACATTACATAACATTCGTTCCTAACGGGACGTGTATACATATTATGTAAATATTATTATGATTCTCATGTATAAATATGTCAATAGATACATTTTCCAATACATAACTTATTATCTTCTGTGATGAACTACACTTATCTAATTTTACAAAGATTCAAAGTTCGGATGTCACACTATAATTATATTTTTAAAATGGCACAAAAAACTTTTTTTAAAACACTAACACAAAAGTCAACAGTCCTTTAATAGTCTTACACGCACTTGCACACTACGTTATGGTCTTTTCCTTTACGCACTACATCACTCCGGCTGCTTACAACAGTTCGCTCACATGAACTTCAGCTTTAATTTGTGTTGTATAGTTACTATTACTAATTTAAATTGACTAAATTTTAAGCTAAACAGACAATGGCACGGATTGTACATATAATGTTTTCTATATACAAAGGAGTTAGCAATCTATCCATACGTATGTAACTTTATCATAAAATTGTTCAGAAGGGTTGCATTTACTTGTAACATTGTACTTAATTTTAATCTTAAACCTTACTCTTTAGTGTACTTGCATGTGCAATAATAGTAATTACGTATAATAGAAGGGGATAGTGAACATTTATTTTGCTTCAACATCAATTAAAATCATTGCTAGGGAAATATTCCTACCCAATGAACTTCCAGCAGAGGATTTTTTTTTCAGGTTTTGAAAGTGTCAATGTGCCAAAATCACCGTGCCATCAAATTTTAGAGCACCGTTAATTCAGATGCACCTTTTCTTTTCAGACTGATCGAATATTTAGCACTGACCATGTGTCTCCCGATCCAGCACCGAAGAAAAGAGCATGATTGTTATCGAACGGAGGACGGTACCGAAGCTCGATAGGGGATTTGCATGCCAAGTTTTGGCCTAGAAGGGGTCTGTGCCAGATTTAGCAGTGCGGGTGGAGGGGCCTCGGATATGGACCGAAGGCCTCATAGCCTAGCTATGTGGCCCAACCTTCGATCCGCTGTCTCTTAGTATGAGGCTGTTCGTAGTCTAGTGGGACGGTGTTTGAGTGCCTCATATCCTGACCTGCCGGCGAGCCCATGTTACTTGACGTTACTGAACCTGTAATAAGATTATTTTTTGTGTCTTATTTAAGGAGTTTATGAAAATTTAAATTTAAATTCTAGTATATTACGAATAAAATTTAAATGTCTGTTTATAATGTCAAAATAACATATTTTTACTAAATATATTTATGTACGGTACTTAAAACAAAAAAACTATTTTTAAAATTTTTGTCTGTATTTCTGTCTCTTTGTTCCGGATAATCTCCAAAATGGCTGGACCGATTTTGACGGGACTTTAAATGACAGGTAGCTGATGTTATAAGGAGTAACTAGTAACTAAATATTAAAAAAAAAATTGGGGTTCCGCGCAAAAAAATTACGCTCAATGATGGTCTTTCTCAACGATTTCGATTACGGCGAAACTGTTCAAAAATGAAAAAAATTGTAAATCTAAAATTTAAAACTTTTGTAATTAATTATGTAAAATAGCACGCGTGCTTTTTTAGGGCCAAAAGCGATTGTATTGATCAATTCGCCATATACAACGTTTCTCCTAGGGCCGTCTTTTTTGCCATTATATTGGCTAGGTCTGAATGGTGAGAGATACTATGTCATGTTATTTCATAATAAAGATACTAAATGGTATATTTAATTATTTATTATTAACAATAGTAGACCGGAAAACGAACGTTTCACGAATGAAATTTTAATACTTCCAAGAAATAAAGATATTTTATTTTATTCTAGTGCAAATTGAACTTGTGAAACTGATCTGAAAAATAGTGAATAGTTAAATAAAATGTATTTATTCATATAAAGTCGACTATTCAACACTTATTTATATATAAAATAATAATTTTTAAAGTTAATTGTTATGTGTAATACTGTTAATAAATTGTCTATAGTATATTTTTTTTGCTGGCCGTTCATAAATGACTGTATATTTTTTTTCTTATAGTTCGGGCTTGGACCATAGATAGTATTGATATTACATAGATATGTGGTAAGAGCTTACCATCAATGACTCCAGATAAGTGCGCGGGCTGTGGTGCGGGCGCAGGCGGCGGCGCGCGATGTAAGTGATCCGGCGCGCGCGGCGGCGACACCGGCTCTGCTTTGATTTTCACGTTGCTAGGCGACGGCGCCGGCGGCGGTGTCCCTCCTCCGCCCAGCACTGGCAAGCTGCTGGTGCAAAAGATATTCATGTTTAAAATGTTAGTCTTTCGATTGTTTTTTCATTGGGGCGTTACCATGTTGTCAATATTTGCTCGGAAAATATTATACACACAAAGTAAAAGTGTTAGGCAAGGTGACTTTACTATTAGATTTCTACTTTAATACTAGAAATGATCCAAAAGAAACGATAATAGGTTATTTACACACTTATTTAATTCTCACTGTAAATTAAATTACCGAGATACAATTATTTGAATATCAGTAGTCGAAAAGATAAAAAACGAAACGAAAATAGAGAAAAAACAAAGTGGAAGTGAAGTAACTCTGTTTAAAAAACTTCTACTAAAGACCGCTATATTTAACAGTTGCACGCTGGTCCAAGGAGTAGAAAACCGTGAAGGCCGCTAATCTACGTCCATCTCCGAAGATAACGTAAAACATTATGTTGTTTAGACATTTAGCTCAGTTTACAAGCATCGTTTATGGCAAGATTCAACCAATCCTTATAAACGAATTGAATTCGAAATAGGTTGGGCGGAGGACCGGACCTGTTGGGTTCCAAAAATTTTAACTGAGGGACAAAAAAATACACAAGTTCAATGGAAAAATGTTCAATCCTACCAGGGTGAACAAGATTTTTTTTTCTTTCAATTTGTGACTATGGACGAAACATGAAACACATATCATTTTGATTCTGAGCCCAAAGTGTAGTACAGTGTTTCAAGCTCGGCGAGAAACTGGGGGAATTTTGGATATGGAGTATGTATGTGGGATGTTGAAATATGGCCTATGGGTTCCTACAACACAGATCAAATAAGATTGCGCGAGGCCATTAAAGAAAAAAGACAGGGCAAACTATGAGCATCAGTTCTGTTTCATCAAGAGTCAACACAACGCACGCGCACATAAAGCTGAAGTTGCGATGGCTGTCATTCGATATGAAAAAGAAGCTAACAAGATACAAGAAACAGCTCCAGTGCGTGTGAAGTTTGAAGATGATAAGCATTGTGATGGCCAATTTCGAGACCGTTTGGGAAGAAAAAGTTAAAGATTTTGTTTCAAGGATAATTAAAGTTTAGAAAAAATATACCAAATGTATCGACCTGTTAGGAGACTATATTGGTAAATAAAGTAACCAAAAACATAACCGTTGTTTTACGCACTTTTAATAACTAATTTTTTACTACTTACTCGTATATTCAAATTGTAATATTAAAATATTATATTAGTTGGATTAATGAAATGTAAGTTTAAGTACAGCTGGGCCCTATTTAATATTGTTTCAAGCTAGAAACCTCATAAAAGTGCCAAGCTTGGGAAAAACGAAATACATTCTCATCAAAAAGGGAAAATAAATTTATTTTTTAGTAAGGTATTGTAAGACTTTTTTTTTCTTTTAACGAGACCTTGTATAATTTAGCTTTGAAAATAAAATAATAATTTAAATGATTGAAAGATAATGCTAGAAACGTAAAAAGAACTTCCAAGAAAACTGGTTATTGTTAGCTAAAAACTAGGTGATTTGAATAGCAGAGCAACCAAGCGTAACTGAGCAATAATAAAAAAGACAATTTCAAATGAATTTTAAATTTCATTCTTTGGATAAGGTCTCCAATCGCCGTTTCGTGACCATCTTGGGGTAAGGATCCCACGTTGTAGCCGTAGTAATGAGGTTCGAATCCTGTTCATGGCAACACAACGCTGTAGCGACAAGGCCACATATTTTTATTGATGTAATATTTTAATTAAGTTATGATAGGTACTGTAAGTGAATTGTTGTAAATTCTTATGAGAAATAAAGATATCTCAAACCTCATAGGTACTATAGTAAATTACTTGATTGGAGCATTTTCATGCATTTCATAGAGAAATCTTTTAATTGTTTTACAAACACAATTGAATGTTTATGGTTAATTCAAGCAACAATGATATTTAATAACTAAAAAATGTATTATTTCTACAGAAATTGAGATAAAAATACGTTCAGATTTGTTCTTTTGTTTTGTATAAACTCGATTCAACATTGAAAAGTCAATATTGTAGTTGGACCAAAGCCAGTAAATATGAATATCGTCAGTATAGAAAATACCATTATCAATTCTGCCAAAGAATGATGACACGCATAATTGTAATATTGATCAGGTGAATTTTTATCAAACGGATAACTACTGCATAACGCTTTCTAAAAAAACCAAGCTATAGTGAATGTATTAAGGTTTTCGTTATCAAGCTATCGATTTGGTGTGTACCTATTCATTCAACAGGTAAACCGCACTTGTCTGACACTGTGAAATCCAGTCAATGATGATTTGCCGTACATAACACAACTACCAACCCTTTCCTTAAAGATATAAGATTACTTCTTTGCATTTTTATTAAAAGTTGTCGTGTGAAGTTTTCCTATTACGATTGTGTTGAAAAAATGATTGTAAGATTTTTGCTTTAAGAGATATTTTAAATGAGAAAGATTGTTTTTTTTATATAATTACCTACTTTAAATGTTTATGGACGTTTAAAAATCCACTACTACACGCAAAGATATCAGATAAAAAGTGTTAATTGTTTGGAGTCATTTTAATTGTTATATAATCGCTTATTATTAAGGACGTTACGAGTACGCCTGTAGTACACAATAATGATATTTTTTTTATTTATGCTCTACTTTTATCGAGATTGTCCTGTTTTCTTTGTTGCTTTGATTAATGTTTAAAAATATTGCTGTGGTTAAGTTATATTAATGCATTTTTATCATGACAAATGTTTTATACAGTCTGTTTTTGTACGTAATATTCTGTTTTATTAAAACATAAATTTAAAAATAAAATAAAATTCGAACTAGACTATACTACCCTGAAGTTAAGATTGGAACAAAGTTCCTTATCGCACGATACGAATTTGGCGGATGGGGGCTAGGCGAGAAAAAGTGTAAGATTTTTCCGTCACGACTCACGACCCCCTTTCATTAACTTGTATAAATATAGTGCGAGCGAGATGGATTAATATGCATCTCCCTCGCACTTTTTCTTATCTTGCCATGAAAGAAAGATTATTTTAAATGCCGCTTCATTTTAATAGACGCTAGTAATTCATTTATTTGTATTTATTTGTTAATCAATAATATAATAAGTTTATCAATAATAATATACTAGACAAGAGGAACTTCGTTCCAACCAAGTGTTCCACGATACTCACGCATGTTTTCTTTTTTATTTACTCTATTATGTATTTAACTAAACGAACGGCATAGGCATTACGATAGACGAAATATATATATATATATATATATATATATATATATATATATATATTTCGGTTTACAATAATTTGCGCTAAGGTAATTATTGTATGGGGTTTTCTTTTAGAAACGAAACATTTTATATGTTCATTTTATATGTAACGGACTTAGATAGAACAAAGAAAGTAAGTACCTAGTTGTAGGTATATGATTATTCTTATAATAAAACAAATTTAAAAATAATCATAATATACTTTAGCGCGTTCGTTAATTATTGTACATACTGAAATAATAATATAAACAAAAATATTGAGTAAGTTATAGAGAACATGTAAAAATTAAATTGGGCACAGACATGTACCTGTTGTGCTGGAGCGTCTGCAGCTGGTGAGCGCCCCATGATAGACCGATTCCCATGTCCGAGGTCATGCTGAAGTCCTGTGGCCCGAAGTTGCCTAGTCCTGAGTAGCTTAGTGGTGTCTGCAAAACATTAACATATACAGTTATTATTAAAGAAAGAAGGAAAGTTATAATCGGTTTACTAACCTTAAACGAAATATTTTATAAAAAAAAATGGCTTTATCACATTTTAACAAAGGCAGATTTTTTACGAAGGTTTGGGTTACTCCGCAAAAAGCCTATTTTATAAAAAATACGGTTGTTTTTCAAACCACGGTCCATTATACGTAGGGGCGTTAAAATTTCGCTGATGACAGTTTCATAACAGTAGTATTAAACGATATATCTTTTTAGAAACGGGAGAGAACGAAGAGAGATAACCACAATATGTTCGCCATTGTCAAGATGTCCAAAATCTATCAATAATCAACTAATATAATGATTTCTTATATTTACGCGAAGACTACACATTAAATGAAACTAATTGTTTAAAGATTTTATCGCGTTTAATTTAACTAATTTAACTATGCTTGGGTTTGGATTTAATTTTATTAATTAATTACCAAGCATACCACTTTAAGACTTCAAGATACTATAGCTCATTCTGCGTAGATCGGACCAAAAATTTATATTCAAAACCTGAAGGTAGTCGGGCTAACTATGACATCTGGACGTCAAACACCTCAGTTACTCAGTCTCCTCCGTGACCATGGGTGCTGTAAAGCACCCGAAACGTCGGGAATTAAAAAGTTAAATTAAACGTTAGTTTCATTTGATAATCAATTAATAATCAATTCTACTATAATATAAAGCACCCAGAGCGGCAAAGGGTGCAGAGTTTAAAGTGCGCAGTATAATCAACATAACAGAATCGGTAATCCGCCTACCCAACGTGTAAAAGAGGCTCTTTACAACATTAGGATGGTACAGGCCGATAATAATGATGAAAATTGATAATAAAGTAACGAAAGTGAACTTACCTCTCCAGTGTACGATAATTCGTCTTGTGGTGGCGGCATGGAACTGGGTATGACGACGCGTAGGTTGTTGTGGCGCGGCGAGTGGTGCGGTGGTACGTGCGCGTGACTCTTGTGCGGGTGGCGGTGGGGCGAAGGCGCGGGACCTGGCGACGGTGACGGCGTGCACCCAGCGCCCAGTGGCGACCCCGACCCAGGGTATCCGTTCGACATTTCCAACATTCCGCCACTTGGGTATACTGGAAATTAATGTTTTATTAACTTAAGTAATAACAAAAACAAACTAAAAGTAAGTCAGTTAAAAATATAAAGCCATAATGGCCACATCAAGGCAAAAAACGACACGCTGCGCTGGTTGAATTGATTAAAGTGAGGTTAACGTTTTTTTTTTTAAATTAACTTTTGTAAATATAATAGTAATGTAATTTTGAATTAATATTATTTTGGTGAGATTGTTAGGAATATTTAGAGGGTATAAAGAATTAATTACCAGAATCGGTTTCCGAAGACGATGGCCGTGGACTGATAGAGGTATGCATCTGAGGACTAGCTTGAAGCATAGACTGGTCGTAACTTCCCACTGGTACGCTAACGGGCAAATTGTAGTTGCTGCCGGCCACACCCACTCCCACCCTGCTTCCGTTCAACTGGTTCCTCTGCATCATCATTTGGAATTCCTCATCGATCTTGGAGTATTTGGCTTCGGTGCGCGGTGTCAAATTGTATTCCGGCTCAGCTTCAGGGCTGTCAGGCGACATCACTCCGTTCTTATGCTCTTTCTTCGTTAGTGCCTGCAAGTGTCAGCGAAACCAGCTCAGGTGGCTTGACAAGCCAAAATCGTATGTATTTCCGTGGTTTACTATGCATGCATCACAAATTAGAACACCCTCAATAAAAACCATTAGTGTTTTAATATCTACAACAATAAATCCATTGAGTTTGTTTGTTTCGTTTTACGGGTACGAGTATAGTGAGGGTTGGAAAAGTGGTTTAAATAAAAAATATATACTAAGCTCTACTTAATTATATGAGGAAACTTTTTAGCGTACATATGTGTGTAGTGTCGAATGCAATGATACAACACTGACTTTACTCTTGTATCACATCTCGAAGTCAGGTAGGCAGAGTTAATTCAAATAAACACAAAATATTTATAAAACCCATGCTGTACAAGGAAAACATAAACATTTGTGGTGTCTAGTCGTAAACTGTTAGTACAAAACACGAGGGTCTGTTTATTTTCTTTTTATTTTATCTTTTTGTTCTAACAGAAAATAAACTAGCATGCTGGTTGGTAGTCTAGTGCCGCTATTCAATGTTCAGGTTTGATCTGCTTCTCCTTTATTTACGCTTACACGGAAGTCTACAGGAATTACGTTGTGGCCATTGTATTTTTTCTGTTGGTTCGTTTTAGTAATAAATGTTGCATTAGGTTTATTTGTGAGTAAAAGCACGCGGTTAATGGTATAAGTCAATTTTGCATGGACATTGCATTGCGATCACGGGCACACAGATGACGCCGTACTTAATGTACCTCGATGATGTTGCGGTTCGTCAGTGACTCGTGTGGCTCGTTGTACTCCGTGTATTTCAGTAGAACCTGCAAAATAAGACATAAAAAATAATAATGTGTTTTATTTTCAAACCTAATTGTAATATTTAGGTATAGTGTACTGGCTACTTATGAAGCGACATAAAAAAGGAGGAAAGGTTTTAAATTCGTCTGCATTATGTTCTCATTGTTTTTTTTTTGATAGAAAAGGGGTACCTCAGGAGCGGTCTCATAATTGAACATAGTACCAAAGAGACGGAAGTCTGTAATTTTATCATTGAATAATTAATTTTTCCCATACTAAGCAAATATGTAGTATTTATTTCTTAGAAAACTATGTTTTAAAGGTCTAATGATGTTATCCATGAGAAAATCGTCGAACTCTTCTATTTGCAAAGGCATCACACATTTTGGATATGGGGTGATGGTTATATTCTTTGTAGTTATTTTAAGTCCGCTTTTATTTTTTTAATTTTTTATTATTTTCCTTAAATTATATCTACCTTATTGTGACGCCAGCCAGCGTATAAAAAGCCCTTAAAGAGAGGATTGGCTTATTAATTATGTTCCCAATTCATATTTCAATTAAAGCAGAAACATAATTATGCAAATGTTGGACCCGATTTGGCTCAAATGTTGTTCTCAGGTATGGGATTCGTAAGGCGACCGAAGAAAAGAGTTTTAACGTTATTACCGCTTAAGTAATTTACATCCATTCCATTAGAATGTTGTGTAGAAAAAAAAAACTGATAACCATAATTAATACAATACGTCCTTCTGATTATTTATTTATTTCGATTAGTTATACATTCGTATTACAAATGTATGAACGAAGAAAATAATAAAATTAAAAATATAAAATAATTCAATAAGTAATCTTCTATATAAATACAGTGGTAGAGGTTTGCAGTTGTGCGCGCATCACGGAAAAACGACTTGAAAGATTTCAATTACGTTTTCTAAGTTTTATTTCTTAGATACTTGGCCTTTATCTAAAAATATTGTGATATCTTCATTTAATTTATACATGTGATGTGTTTTCTTGATATATCAAGCAACGCATGTAGCACGAATGGGTCGGCTCGACCGGGGAAGGACCACGCTCTCACAGAAAACCAGCGTAAAATAGCAGCTTAACGCTGCTGTGTTTCGTATGGTGAGTGTAGAGAACCGGAGACCCTTTTTACTGGCAAAGAGGCATTCCATCTTAGTCCTCACGGGTGACAACGTATCTGCATCTTGAGTCTTTATTGAGGATAGAGGTAGATGTCTATGGGTCACAGTAACCACTTACCATCAGGTGGACTGTGTGCTCGTTTGTCACCCTTATTCTTTAAAAATATAAATAATGTAACCTGTTATGCTTTGACTTTGTCGATATGTCAATATTGAGAGTGAGCAAGAGAGCTAAAACATTACGTACAGATAAGTGGCTACATCAGTTTAAAGACAACAGCAACCAATTTCAAACAACCAAAAGAAGCCACAGATGAGTTGTTGTTTCTGATTAAAATACACTCACAACCTGTGATTGTATTGGCTATCTAACCCCTTCAACCCCGACACTGCAGTGTAAGGAATGATATTTACCCAGATGTACACCAAAGCGCAAAACAAGTCCTACTTCCTTATAAAACCTTGACTAATGGTATTTCGTACAATTGAACTGTTGTTTCAGTTTTATACTGATATTGTTGTATTTTGCGTGATATTATTCACTGCTACGTACAGTAGAGCTTGTTAATGTTTGTTAAATAATTATTATTACCTTGTCCATATCAGTGCTAGCATATTGGTAAAGTTTGTTGTTGGAGCTGAATATGATGAGAGCTATCTCGCAGTCACACAGTACGCTGAGTTCGTAGGCTTTCTTCATCACACCAAATTTGCGCTTGTTGAATGTGACCTGAAATAAGATTTTTTATATTTTAAAATAATTCTTATTTTCCCGTACTACGTGACGTGTTGACATTTATCTTACTGATCAGGTGATTTAAAAAAAGGAAGAGGTTCCCAATTAGAGTTTATGTGGTAGAGCCACGCTGCAGCTGTAATAGTTGTAACACGAATGTGTCGGCTCGACCGGGGTAGGACCACGCTCTCATAGAATACAAGCGTAAAATAGTAGCTTAATGCTGCTGTGTTTCGTATGGTGAGTATAGAGAACCGGCGACCTTATTTACTGAATACGAGGCATCCATCTTAGTCCTCAGGGGTAACAACGCATTTGCATTTCGATTTTTAATTGAGGATAAATGCAGATATCTATGGGCCACAGCATCCACTTACCATCAGGTGGCCTGTGTGCTCGTTTGTCACCCTATTCTATGAAAAAATGTCTTAGAGTAGGTGCTACTTCAGAATGTGGAATTATTTTATTCTTTTTGTTTCTTTGAAGTTGGCGTTTACCTTAAAATAAAAATTTTCAAAGTCATCATATAAATTACTAAATTTTCGTTAAAGTTATCCTAAAATTTGAAATATAATGTTATGATAGAAGACAAATGTAATTAGTTTTAGGACATCCTTTTTTTGGTATAGAATATGTAAATTTTATTATTAGTATTATCACATTTATAGTGAAATGAATTAAAAAAAGTTGACCCATATTTCATAGCGACAGATGTACTATGTGTTTGATATTGAAATATAGTTAATATATGACTAAAGCTAACTATATTTAAAGTATTTTGTTACAGGTGTAATCGTCTATACATTTCTACGCAACTATAGTGTTCTTATATAAACAAAGTTTATTTAACTTATGGAAATAATAAAAATAATGCGTTAATCATATGTATATGTATATGTGACAAAAGATCAGCAAATCGGTAAATTAACCTCGGAAATATTCCGGGGCATACGTTAAAATAAATGAAATAAATAATTTACTTTTGAAGACATAATAGACTGAAAATCTATCTCAAAAAAATCTAAATACAGCCGCAATTAAAGATGCTGAATCTGGGGAATTCCAAAGATATATGAATTTCTTAAAAAAGATAACAGAGTGAATCACATACGAAAAGAGGGGGCTTAGTTTGTAGTTATACAGTTTTTAATATCATACATGATATTTTATTTATTATAAATTTTTAATGAAAGTAATAAGCCAATTTATTGAAAGTTTTTTTATTGAAAGCCAGGAGTTTAATAAAACATCTTTATGGTATGATAAGTATTTCATTTTTTTAATATTTGGATATGAGACATTTCTTCTGTTAGATGCGATATGCCTACTATTTTCTTATACATCAAGGAGAAAGAGGGATCCTAAAATTTTTATGTGATGTTAAGATGAGAGGCAGGAGCCGCAAACAGCCACGAATACAAAACTGATAACATTTTATAAAATGTAAATTATTATAAATTATAATTTAATAAAGTTATGTGAAATACTGTTCCAACTACTGGATCGCTTCTCCAATGCGTGCAATTTCAAATATTGGTGCCAGTCAGTTTAATTTGATTTATATCATAGTTATTATTTTATCGATTCGACTGTAATTGCGAAAGTGCTTACTATAAAACACGTACAGCTAATTCTATAGTAGTTTGAGAAGGATAAGATTTCACTATCCTGGTTGGTCTTTCCCGTGGTTTAACTTACAGGTCGATATTTCCGCTACGTAAGCAAGTAAACCAAAACCTAATCGTTCTTTCATTAGTCGTAGTCTTTCCATGCATTCATTATTCATTCAATAAAGCCTATAGAGTCCACATTGAATATAGGCATCCCCATGGATTGACACATAGGTGGAATATTTGCTATATTTGCCACAATTAGCAGACGTGTTAACAACCGCAATTTTATATTTTTTGAGTTGGTATGAGAAATGTGCTGCTGCCGATCTCCTGTCTCTATTTCTCTCTTTCGCCTCTTACGACCCGTAGGATAATATGGAGGAATGGATTCTTTTACACCGACAACGCACGGCTTCAGTCTCTTCAAAGACTGCGATATTGCTGCGTTGTTTGTGCCACGTTGAAACTCTTTTATAAAAAAAAAATGTTCGTTGTTTCTATATTTACTTACAACAGTAACGATAAAATAATAAAAAATATAATTTTGAATGTTACCGATTTATCGAATATTTATCCAGCCAGTAATATTTTACTGTGTCTCGAACGTTAATACGGCAATTTTATATTTGTATTTTAACTCTTATAAAGAAAATAAAACCAACCACCATCCAAAAAAAAATTAAAAATGTTGTTTGATTTAGAGCCGAATTCATCATCGAATAAATAATAAGCTGCCTAAATATAAAAGTGAAATAATTAAATTACCTATTTTATTTGTATAATTTTAATTTATTGTTAGTTCATATTGTATTTTGTTCTTATTCATATTGTATTTTGTAACTTTTATCTGAGGATTGATAAAGCGGCCCTCGGTGTAATTCTAAATTTGAAACTAATTTTTTTTAAGTTCCCGCCAAGATAGGTCTATTAAAATTAATTAGAAATCAGTCGATTTACTTCAGAAAATTCTATACAAGTTAATATCGATTCTAACTTACTTTGCTCAATACTTAAAATACATGCAATCGAAAACATCGCTTATATAACAAAATTATATCAACATGATTACTACTTTGTCAATGGTAACGAATTTATGCTGGAGTATGTGCAAATTACTATCACCAAGTTTTTTTTTCTTAATAACTCGCACACATGTAACATAGTTTAAAGAAAACACTTGAAAGCTTGAAATGACACATGACGATAAAGAAAGTTACTGCACTCTGTTTATTGGGTCGCGAACATTGATTTGATAGCAAGTAACGGCGTGTATTGTTTGAAAAGGATTTTAAATTAAAATTCAGTGCCCGCATCATTATGTACACGTAATATTTTGTGGTTAATTTTAAGTACCTACCTAATTTTAAGTAACCTAATTTAACTTTGTTTTCCTTAAAGTTGATTGTTAGTAGCATTTCATAACACGGTTTCGTATTTATTGCAATAGAAATTTAGCACTAAACTGAACTCCTATATTTCTTTGCTTTATTATCAATATCTATTGTACAGTCACTACAGTCTAAATTTGATATAAATTTAATATAGACATCCAGTGATTTTTTGAAATTCTTTAATTTGATTCGTACCATTTTCGTGGAAGACAAAGAAAATGGACTATTGCAGCGAACATAGAATCAGGGTCAAAGTGGCCGTCAAAACGCAGATTGACCTTCGCAACTTCCATTTCAGTCGTCTGACTCCTCTATTACAGAACCGTTCACCCATGAGCTTCCCCACCGGCCACATTTTGCGATTCTAAAATGGTAATAGGGAGGCTTAGTGGCAGGGCAAAGGGTCCGTCTAAACTGGACGAGAATATTATACGGCGTAATCGTATAATTAATAAATTACTAACGGGAGCGGTCATTGTCCCTTGGCGATAATGTTTTGCTGTGGGAGAGTGCTGATATTCCGCATCTGTTTTGTCGGAACGCTAAGGTCACTTTACCCTTTAACAACCTTGTGTATAATTTTAATTAATATCACAACGGATAAAACAACCGAGTCCCTTAGAACATTGCGACTTGTGATGAAATCTATGATCAAATTATTTCATGAGATTAAATTAAAATTTAAAAAAAATGACGTCATCATTATTATTCTGAGATGCATCTTTATTTAGTTCAGGGCTTTAAAAACTTATACTACGAACACTTATTGTTTTATCTGTGAAGCAAACAAATGACAATTTCTCTTTTTTTTATTTAATATTATTAAATCTGCGTTGATTGCAATGAAAACGCAACACCTCATCAGCCTTCATACTAAAAGTAGTTTATATATTTTCTCAGGTCTGTTTTAGGATAGAAGTTCCGTAGGTATTTTGCGAAATAAAATAAAATGTAGTCTTTACCATTTTCGGATGTATCAACACTTACCATCAGGTGTGATAGTAGTCAAGCTTTGGTTTATAATAGTTAAAAATGTTTTGTATTGAGGCGGTAAATGAATATATAATTATTTTTAATTTCAAATAAGAGATTGTTAAGATTTGTAAACAAACCTGCCGATTCCGTTCGTCTGTGATCCGGGATATTTGTATTTTCTTCCGACCCATCGTGGCAGCAATCTTGAAGGGGTTTTAGGGAGCGGGGCAAGAATAAGAATCGCCGATTGGCTGGCTGCTACTGTGGACGTCAACAGCTGCTATCTGAAACGAAAAATACAATTTTGTAAAAGCTGTAATATATGTAACATCAAGATTTAATAAATGCATAAGGATCAAGCGACAGTGGCCTATTGGTTAAGATACAGACCGCAAAGGTCAAAAGTCGTGGGTTCGAATTCGCTTTTCCACTATTTTCGTTAATCATTCACGACAATAGTCGTCTTTAAAATATAGTCTTTAAAATAAAAAGATGCTATAGATGAGATGTGATGCTTTCTGAATGTAAAGAAAAAAAAAAGATATAAAAATAAAATAAATAAATTACATATATTTAGCCAACATAACAAGAAATTATTGCAATAAGATACATTGAGTGAGAGAGACATGGAAATATTTCAATGTTCACAGATATCTCGGTAAAGTTGATATGTAAGAGGAAAAGTACAATATAGTAAAAAATATTATCTGTAAAAATATGAAACTTGATATAGGTATGATACTATGACGAAAAAAACAGCCAACGAACTTATTTTCGAAGACGTAAATAAAGTAAATGAGTAAAGTATGTTTAGCCAACATAATATAAAATGTCCGATGTTGGTCTGGCACTTATAGGTCCCATATTAATGTAGGACTTTTGTTATTAAAGTTAAAAGACGACTAAATTTGTTAAATGGTTTGTGATTGTCTAGGCTAAACCCATTTTGATCTACTTCAAAAAGGAGTACCTACTCAATTCGACTGTATTTGTTATGTATATTACCTCATAACTATTTTCTAGGTGAGCCGATTTTGATGATATTTTTATTTGAAAGCTAGTGCTTCCTATATGGTCATATTAGATATAGATAAAGATCTGACTAGTAGTTTTTGAGATATCCTTATAAATTATATTGAAGTCGGTTGTACAAAATTTTTAATTTTACCGCTTATTTGATTAAAAGTGGTCCGAGTAGCTCGCTGCTGTTTGAACTTTAGCTACCCCTCGAAGATTACAGGCATTACGTTACATATGTGTGTATAAGTTACGTATAGTAAGAAATACAACAACAATACACAGTAGGTGATAAGAAGACATTTGCAATATTCCGAATGGTACAGATATCTGAGTGAAGTTGGAAAACAAAGCAACGCACCGACTGCCGTAGGCCGATTAGGTAAAAAAACGGGGTCATGTGGGCTGATAGTGGGGTCATTATGCAAATCTGAGCGACCTACCGTCTCGTGCGATGTATTATGGATACGGTAATGCTGACGACTTACCGTTCGATATGTTTGTCAAGTTAATAAACACGGAACTTAGTAGGTATTGGAAAAATTGTTTTAACTTTAGTAATTTGTCTCTATTAGTAGTTTGTCTTTAAGTAGTTTCGTATTCATGAAGCCTTGTATTGCTTATTAAGTTTGTAAATTTTTAAAACCAAAATTTTATTTGACGTTGCATAGTTTTTGTAACTAATTTGTGAATTATCAAAAGGAATATACGTGTGAATTATCAAAAGGATGTACTTAAGTCATACAAAATTTGTAAAAAAAAATATAGTTAGTTTGGCTTCTATTTCTCATTATAAACTAATTTAAACATTTATATGGAAATTTTCATTTAAAAGGCTTAATTTATTGATATTATCATTTAAAATATAATCGAACATTATTATATAAAATTTATTCGTTAATAATACGCTGCTGGAAAGTGGAAAAGGCCGACGTTCCCTTTGAATTAATAAACAAAAATCGTGGTGTCATCCGCACCTGCACACGATCAAGAAGACAGCTAAAATCACTGCCTTCGCACGTAAAGAAACGTGATTGACATGAAAATAAAAACAATGCAGGAAGTTGTTTAATAAAATGTCTAGACTTAATGACTAGTACACTGGAATCGGAAATATATCAATATATTAAATAATAAATCGGAAGAAACATAACGAAAAATCACCTTTACTATATTTTACCAAGTTCCAAAAACGAAAACCAAAAACCTCAAGGCGCTCCGACAAAAAATCGAGGAAATTAATATATTGACTTTGGCGTACGTACACAAAAATAAAAGTACATAACGGCAATTTCATTGGTAAAGATCGATTAATAATGTAATTGCAAATGGAACTTTTATTAACTTTGGCCTCTCAATACATTTATGAAACTTTAATATATGTACAAAAAAATAAAAGTAGTTTTACAAAAATAAGTGATATTAATTCTGTAAATACTAGGAACAGACACAAGCTAGTAGTACCAGTTACTCGACTCCACCGAGTCAGTAATTCATTCTTAGGGAAATGTATACGCTTTTACAACAAAATCCCAGAAAATATACAAAATTTGACCTGCTCAAAGTTCAAACACTTTATTAAACAAAGTATGTATAAAAAGGGTTATTACAATATTAAGGAATTTATGGATGATAACAACCCCTAGGAATGAGGTGATCGCTACCAAGCTATTTCTAATTTGTTTTGTGTTGTTGATTGTGTACCTAACATACATGATTGTAAGCTGTTATTTTAAAAAAAAGTCCCACTGGATTTCTTGCTGGTTCTTCACGGGACAGAGATTTTATTTCGAACCAGTGGTAATTAAACAAAAGAGTGACTTTCAATGAATATTATTTATAATCTATATTGAATAAAAAAGTTTCTGTTTCTGTTTCTATTTCTGAAAAGATACTATTCGACGCGTATGTTTTAATTACCATAGTTAATTTTAAGCAAAAGGTTCACCCTAAGGATGAAAAATAGGGGACGAAATGTTTAATGTAAGTATTATGTAACATTACAGTTATTACATTTAACTTGTGATATTCCCTAGTCCACTCAAAAGGATAAAATAATTATACATTTAAGAAAGTAGAACCTATGTACTTCATAAACTCAAAAATGTAATATAAACTCCACATAACTTCTAAATTCGAGGCTTTAATTGTTTGATACACAATGTCTCAGCATCGACTTTATAAGCTAGTATAATATCAACAAAAAAGTTTCTTCGTACTTTGTTTGTATAAAATTTAAGAAAAATCGCTTTGGTTGTACTGTTTGTAAGTGAAAAATAAAAAGTAAAAAACACTTTCCCGCCATTTTTCAATTGTTTTTCTGTTCGCCAAAATTAGTGAATCTAACGAAGAAATTCGATACATTCTGAAGTTTTATTACCAAAAAAAGAAATAAATGCGCCTATGCGAAAAAAAATTTGTGCCGTTTATGGAATTAATGCAGTGTCAGTAAGAGTAGCACAAAATTGGTTCACGCGTTTTCAGTCCGGGAATTTTGATGTCAAAGATGCAGCTCGCTCTGTTCCCCCTCATACAGATAAAGTCGATGCCATTTTTGAAAAAGCGGAGTAAGATCGGAATGTTAGTAGTTATAATATAGCCGAGGAATTGATGATTGACCACAAAACAGTTTTGACCCATTTGAAAAAGTCTGGGTATACAAATAAACTCGGTATTTGGGTACCACATGAGCTCACTGAAAAAAACCTAATAAATCGTGTACTTTCTTCGTCTATATTGACACGTATTGAAAAGTAGATCACCTACGACAACAACATGCGAAAAAGATCATGGTCAAAGGGTAGTTCAAGCTCCACAGTGTGTAGCGAAACCCGGATTAACAAGCACAAAGGTGATGCTGTGTGTATGGTGGGATTGGATGGGCATTGTTTATTATGAGCTTTTTCCGCTGGGCTAAATCATCGATTCGTTTACTGCCATCAACTAATGGGACTTTAGCAAGAAATTGAAGAAAAAATTGAATATATTTAGCAAGAAATTGAAGAAAAAATCGGTCGGAATTGATCAATAGAAAAGGACTGGTCTTTCATCATGATAACGCCAGACCACACACATATTTGGCCACTCCGCAAAAATTGAGAGAGCTTGGTTGGGAAATTTTAATACATCCACTATATAGTCTTGACCTAGCACCCTCAGATTTTCACCTGTTTCGGTCTCTTTAAAATTCTTTGGATAGTGTTAGGTAAACATCAAGAGAGGACTGTCAAAAACTACTTGTCGCATTTTTTTAATCAAAAATCTCAAGATTATCGATTAGATATCGAACAAAAGGGCACATATATACAATAATTAAATGTAATTAAACTTTGAAAACAAATGTTTTGAACTTGTGTATAAAATACGCAGAAACATTTTTCCCCGACCTATTATTATTTTTTAGTTTTGAAGGTTTAACCTTCAAAACTAAAAACCATTATTATATTAACTGAATATTCATACAGAAATATCTTAACATTATGTATATTATAATAATAAACATGTTTTTATATCTTTTTGTTTTTAGTCTACTGATGCATTAATGATCACTTGGTTGAATTATTAAAATAGACAACTATAAAATATGTTATTTTAATATGTTATTTATATACTATAACTAAAAAAATATGATTACTGTTAATCTTAGCGTAGCTTTTGTAAGAGGCACACTTGTAATAATGGAATGATTCTCAATATACAGTATTAAGATCTCGGATTTGTTTAAATAAAAAAAAATCTCTTTCACCAATGTTTGCCTGGAAGAGATCGCTGTTTAGCGATAAGGCCACATTATAGTTACGTTTATAGTATCTACATAACATGTAGATAGTATATGCGTAATGTGTACAAAAAAGTACTATAAGTAAATAAAATCTATACTATAACTATTCTAAAACCTTATTAAAATATTAGTATAAATACTAAATATTAGGCTGCAGACGAAGTTTCATTCGTTCATACCATTTCATATATTATTCAAAATTATAATTATAAAGGATCACGCACATATGACGCCTTTCAGTTTCCCTAATTAACATATAAAATGTGTAAGAATAAAAATGTTGTTATTTTGCCGTCTGCAGGAACATATTCATAATGTTAGTAATCCAATATAATTTATTAGTCACGCTCTTTAAATTGCGTCTATTTATTTTTCTGTAGCCAAGAAATAAGC